GATATTAGTTGGTGTTAAATTGTTCATAGGAAACCATAAACCAAGGTTTCAAATTAACTGTTATTTGTCATCAAGGAGTACCTTGAATTATGAGCAAACTAGTCCTCTTACTGAATAAAAATTCTATTCCTAAAAACATAATTAAGCGTAAGTAAGTGTAAGTAATATCAAACTCTCTATCCAGTGTACTAAGTTTACTTAACATATAAATAATATAAGAATGGTGTAGCGCAGTATATCAGTAAACTATCTGAACAAGTGTATCTATTTGTATTTATAACATACAAACTTGTTTCAAAAATATGTCTGCTTGTTCAAAATTCAATCAAAATGGAAACAATGAACATTCAATGAATCATTCTATGAAAATTTGTTGTTATTAATATTATTGTCTGAAATTCAGGTAATCATTAGTCAACTGAAAAAAATATATGTGCGAATAAACCGAACAAAGTCTATTTTAGTTGAGTAGATTATGACTATGCGACGCACAATAATTTGGCAAACGATTTCATTGTGAAAATTAAACTGGTTTTCCGTAAGTATTCTATTAAAAATAAATCAGAATGTATATGAACGCAAGACTGGGTTGCATCGGCACCTGAACTAGTGACAGGGAGTGAAGTAGTCGAGCGTGTAGACCGCTTCAATTATCTGGGGAGTCTCATCAGTACCGATGGCCTGGTGACTGACAAAATCTCAGCTCGGATACATAAGGCTCGATTAGCTTTCCCAACCTGCGTCACTTATGGTGTAGGCGATATATCCGTTTGATGACTAAAGGACGAGTATACTGTGCAGCACTGGTCGCTCCGTCTTACTTTATGGCTGTGAAACATGGCCAGTGAGAGTAGAAGATATTCGTAGGTTACTGGTTTTCGATCATAGGTGTCTTCGAAGCATTGCTCGTATATCGTGGGACACCCGAGTGAGCAATCCTGTTATTAGGAAACGGGTGCTAGGTAAGAATGGCAGATCAATAGATGAAGTAGTGACACTTCATCAGTTGAGGTGGTTGGGACATGTGTTGCGTATGCCTAACCACCGACTGCCTCGACGAGCCTTGTTTTGTAGTGTAGGAGTAGGTTGGAAGAAAGTTAGGGGCGGCCAAACCAAAACATGGCACAAATCCATGAAGTCATTGACGAGTGGACTGAGCCATGTCGGTAATTGTCGACTACCTGGTTGGGGTCCGCGAGATGATAATAATCGATGGTTAGAGACCTTGAATGACATGGCTCAAAATCGTTTGCAATGGCGCCGGTGCATTTATTCTCTGTGTTCTCTCAAATCCTAATCTTCTGGATTATTCAACACCTCTAGTTTTGACTTTCTAAACTTTTCTCATTGAATCATACTTCTTGAATAATATCTCTTAATCCTAACCTTTCCGATTACTCCTAATCCCTTTACTACCTCTTCTACTATTGGATTTGAATTGACAATTACATCTGTGTGCTGATGTGGTATGGCAACATGAACTGATGTACTTACGTACGAAGTTCTACGTCGCATCTTACTTACTTACTACTATATGAATGCAAGAGTGTGATAAAAACTTGAAATGGGTTTGTGTTCATCCTACATAGGGTAATTTGTTAGCTGGAAAAAGGGGATCATGATACAAAGCGGTATGTTTAATCAAAATATGAAAATTCTCTAAATGAATAAGATATACTTATATTTAAAAATGGAAAGAATTCATAACTTAAATGTGTGGATTAAGATAATTTAACCAAACTGAAATCGACAAATTGAAATTGTTATTATTGGGGTTGTCAAGATGATTGAATTTTATTCAAATCATGAATCAGTCAATGCTAGAGTATTATTTAAAACCTAGAGCTCATCAGCAGTGCGCACCCTAGATCCCGCATACAGGAATCGATACATATAGCACTAATGCTAGACATCATCACTGTCCAATGTGAACTTTATTGCGTCCGTACGCGATTACCATCCTCAGAGCTGTGGATACGCATTTCTAAGTTATGAGTTAAAGAAGCCTGTGAAGATTAAACAATTGGAAAAAAGACATAAGGCGACCAATATGCGTTTTATTTCAGTATGAGACACTTTTGGCAGTATGTACCTCAAGCTATTTACCTACTTACTTACTTACTTACTTACTTACTCTTGTTACCCCTGAATGGCGGTTTGGCAGTTGATCAGAATTCTCCAACCTACTCTCTTGTGGGCTTGTGATCTTGATTGCTTTACTGTAATTTATGACAAAGGTTTCTGTATTTACTTTCATGCTTAATCTATGAAAGTATTTTTTACTAATGATCCCCACTGACTGTTTGTTAGTTTTAATTAAGGAAGCATTTCGTCACTAGAAATTACATTTTTTGATATTGTTGTCTGTAATTATTTGAAAGCCAATCAAGACAATAAAAACTTACTCTGAAAGCTTTAAAAGATCAACACAGAAGTACGACACCAAGTGTTTTTGTGATATTTTTAACAAACAATATTCATTCATTTAGTTAACAGTTTATTGTATGACTGTTGAGTCCAAGGTGAGTACAAAGTTTGAAAGAAAACTTTTTTATACCAGATTCATTTTCAACTGCTGAATGTTATATTTACCACGAATAGCGATCAAGTTAGGAAGAAGTGCACAAACCTTCTGAGACTCTAATAAGTAGGGTCACAAACACTAGTAAACGACAATGCTATGCAGACTTTTAGACTGAACTACACCTAATCTTAGCTCAGAGAGCCCGAAAAGCAATCAAAAGGTTTGTGATTTTGTTAAAAATTAAAGTTAACCAGTAATACAGAGTGTTCAACTTTGAATAACATGAAAGATCATTCATTTTCATCGATTCTCATGTTTATTTCCAATTCTGCATTTAGAAAAAATTTTTCTTTATGATAAACTGTATCATCAGAGAATGCTAGTTTCAGTCAGGGTAAATGACTAATTTCCAGGATACCGATAAAATTCAAAATGGGCATTTTGTGTAGTCATATATTGATTTTCCTAATCAATATAAGGTTTGTGAAGATTGTAGAGTTTCATTGACATCATGAATCATCAACCAATGTTAGACTATCATTAGAAACCTGATAAATACTGGACAGCTGTTTCATCAGCGGTGCGCATTCATGACTTTGAAAGCGGAAATCGGAACTAAGACCTTCAATATTTCATGGGAATGCTTAACCTCCAGGCTAATGAGTTTGCATCCAATGGTGATAATGTTTAACTTCAACGCAACATATATATCTATTACCGTTTTCAGGATCGTGGAAGCGAATCGCTGTTGAGTCCCATACACTAAGACAAAACGGCTGTCCAGTACTTTCAGGTTTTAAATGACTGCCTAGCATTGATCAGTTCATCATTTCAATAGGAGAGATTTTATTAAAGTTGAAAATATAGTATTAATCAGTGTTAGAATCATTTCATTAAAACAAATCAGTTCTAACTCATATTACTTACTCACTCTGCTAACGCCTGTCATCCCTAATATGTATAGGCCGCGGACCAGTTTTCTCCAACCAACTCTGTACTGGACTTCCCGTTCCAGTTCTGTCCAATCTTTGTTCATTCTTTCTCTGTTTCTCGGCCCAATGTGTTCCTTGGCCTTCCTCTTTTCCTTTGACCTTGAGAGTTCCATGTGAGGGCCTATCTTGTGACGCAGTTTGGTGCTTTTCGTAATGTGTGTCCTATCTACTTCCACCGCTTCTTCCTTATTTCCTCCTCCACCGGGTTCTGGTTATTTCTCTCCCACAGTAGGTTGTTGCAGATAGTGTCTGGCCAACGAATCCGAAGTATTTTGCATAGAAAACTGTTCATAAATACTTGTATCTTCTGGATGATGACTTTCGTAGTTCTCCAAGTTTCCGCTCCATACAGTAGAACTGTCATGATATTTGTATTGAAAATCCTGATTTTGTTTTTGGTTGAAAGTTGTTTGTAGTTCCAGATATTTCTCAATTATAAAAATGCAGTTCTAGGCTTTGCCAGTCCGTGCCCTCACATCTGCATCGAATCCACCTTGGTAGTCGACGATGCTGCCAAGATATGTAAGGGTGTAAACGTCCTCCAAGACATCTCCATCAACAGTGATTTGCTTGGCACATGTATGATATTATTGATCACAAGTTTATATTGATTGACTAAATGATCAGAATAATTCATACGGTCTTTAATAAACTACGAGTATGTATTCTAAACACTAATTATCTATCTTCACGCTGCATTAAACATGGATGGCAATGATAATTTCAAAACTATAATTAAATATTATTCTAAAATTTATAATGAAATCGATAAAATGACAAGTGAACTATTTCAACCTTAACATCATTATTTTCGACAATTAAAAATCATGAGATTTAATATCAACTTTTTTTTTCTATTCACAAATTGATAAATATGATAACGAGTTAAATAAATATATATCACACAATATTCACAAACATTGAACTTTGAACAAACCAATGCGGTACACAATGTGTTTTACACAACATTGAATATGAATTATGTTTAAACAACATACTTTAAATGATTATATTTACTAGAGTTATTAAAGTAAATTAGTAACAGAAGAAATATAAAACATACGACACACTAGTAAATATCAGTAAGCGATCGATAAATTCACTGAATATTGAACAGACTACACATTGAACAGAACGCAACACGAACAAGAACAAGGACAAGTGTTCAAATTACTACAATAAAGAATGAGTTTTATTTTATTTTTTTTGTTTTGAAAAGTAACACTTAGCACATATATGATATATTATTCTGTAAAAATAATTATCTAAACACATTTTAGCTAGTTATATATTGAACAGAAAAGGTTAACTGTCTCCATACACACCAAGTTGAATCGTTGGTGTTATAACGTATATTTAAAAAAATTTAGACAAAGGAAGAGATGTTGATGAATCCAGAAGATTAGGATTTGTGAGAGCACAACGAATGGATGCACTTGCGCCATTGCAAACAATTTTCAGCCATGTCATTCAAGGTCTCTAACCATCGGTGACTTTCTTCTCGCGGACCCCAACCAGGTAGCCTACATTTACCAATATGACTCAGCCCACTTGTCAATGACTTCATGCATTTCAGCCATGTTTTGGTTTGGCCGCCCCTAACTTTCTTCCAACCTATTCCTACACCACAAAACATAGTTCGTCGTGGCAGTCAGTGGTTAGGCATTCGTAACAAATGTCCCAACCACCTCAACAGATGAAGTTTCACCACTTCATCTATTGATCTGCCATCCTTAACTAGTACTCATTTCTTAACGATAGCATTGCTTACTCGTTTGTTCCAGGATATATGAGCAATGCTTCTAAGACATCTATGATCGAATACTAGTAACCTACGAACATCTACTCTTAACGATCATGTTTCGCTGCGTTACTGAGTCCAGATAGTCACTTGCTTATGAGATCAGGTGAAGATTAATTCATGAAACACATATCCTGGATTCTTCTGCTACCTATTATCTATCTCCACTCATAATGTTTGTTATCTAAAGAGGTAATATCGAAGATATTCTGATAAGATGCATATACAGCTTAAATTTTCAACTTCAACCTTTGATCGGTTCGGGTTTTGCCAGGAGGTACCTTGTGTGCTGGGTGTGTGTGTGTATGAAGAGCAACGTGTGAGATTATCTAACAGAAGAAAGAACTATAGAGAAAAAGATGAGCCGACGATTCAGTAAGCACATAAAATAATGCACTTTCATTCAAAAGAAGAATAAATAGACAGCAAACAGAAATAAATAAAGACAAACGAATAAACGAAGCTAAAAGTTATTAGAGAGTAAAGTTTAGAATGCGTTACACAAGTTACTGGATAATCACAATTCTAGATATCTATGGTCAGGTTCAAATGAAAGAAGGGAGTTTGTGTTTTCATGTTTGGTTACATCACAAAATTACTTGTCTTATTATTGTCAGCAATTCGTATTTAAAACAAATTTTCTGCAGTTTCAAACTTGTTTAAATTATTGATAAAACTGAATTTTGAAATTCACTTAAAAAATTGATTTTTTGTAGTTTATTATTATAAAATAAGTAAAGAAAACTTTAACGAATTTCTGTCAATTATACAATATTGTACTTTGAAATCATGAATGAATCATGATTAGACCATCAACAAAAATATGGAAGTACTGGACGACTGCTCCGTCCTGGTGTCGGACAGATTACCAGCCAGTCTGTATCCATGAATCCTGCTACTAGCAGAATACGAACGCCTGACTTTCGGTCCTGTGCAAGAATGCCTAACTTCTGGATAAATGTGAGTATCGGGATTTGTGGATACACACATCTAATGAGTTCCATACACTAAGACGAAACATCCATCCAGTGCTTCCAGGTATCTGATGGTAGTCTCACAATGATTTATTCAAGATTTCAATATGTCACAATAACAATTTTAGCGGTGACTGAGTCGAGAGCGACTATGATCACCGCTAAAGACTCATTACTATCCCGTCACAAACTACAGAAATAAATCCAGAGTCAAATACTTATTTGAAGGAGAGAGTAGGCGTTAAAACGAGCAACGCGAAACAGAACGTTGCGCGCAAGTAAGTGTTTTTGGTACAGTTAAACAAAACATGTACAATAATGTTTATTCTGCACCAACCGCGTTTTCTTCTTAGAAGTGTTACACTACACAATCTCCATAATACCATTATATATATATATATATATATATATATATATATATATATATATATATATTCATTGATTTTGTTTATAGGATAAGTCATCAAACTGGACCGAGTATTACATTTCCTGATCGTATTAGTGCGGAAAATGATGCAGAAATGTTGCATAACGCTTGTAAAGGATTAAGTAAGTGTAGTTTATCGAGAATTGTTTGTTCTTTTTTTCCTTGTGTTGATAAATATATAACAGTTAACTGTTATTCATAAAATTACAATGTATCCATTGATATGGAGTGAAGTAGTCGGGCGTGACGTTGGGCAGTCTCATGAATGCTGATGGCCTGATGTATGACGAAATCTCAGCACGTATATAGAAGGCTCGATTGGCTCTTGCCAACCTGCGTCACTTATGGGAAGGAGAGATATCCGTTTGCTGACTAAAGGATGAGTGCACTGCGCATTAGTTCGCTCCGTCTTACTTTATGACAATAAAACATGGCCAGTCAGAGTAGAGGATATTCTTAGGTTGCTGGTCTTTGATCGTAGGTGTCTCCGAAGCATTGCTCGCGTATCATGGTACAACCGAGCAAGCAGTACTGTTGTTAGGAAACGAGTACTAGGTAGAAATGGCAGACCAGTTGAAGGTGGTTGGGACATGTGCTGCGTATGCCTAACCACCGACTGCCTCGACGAGCTTTGTTTTGTGGTGTAGGAGTAGTCTGAAATAAAGCTAGGGGTGGCCAGACCAAAACATGGCAGAAATGCATGAAATCACTGACAAGTGGACTGAGTCATGTTGGTAGGTTTCGACTACCTGATTGGGATCCGTGAGACAATAGTAACTGATGGTTGGAGACCTTGAACGACATGGCTCAAGATCGGCTGCAATGGCGCATGTGCATTCATTCATTTTGTTCTCTGGTATTCTAACTTTCGGAATTCCTTACCACCTCTATTTATCTCTTTCTAAAGTTATCTCACTAAACTATACTACTTGAATAATGTCTTCGATCCGTAATATTCTGCTAATTCTTCTACTATCTCCATCACTATGTGATTTGAACTGACATTTGCGTCTCTGTGCTAATGTGGTATGGCAACCTGAACTGATGTACATACGTACGAAGTTCTACGTTGTAACTGACTGACTGACTGAGTGAATGTATCCATTGAGTTGGTTCAAATAACAGTAGACCATATCATTTCTACTACAGAGGTACTTTCAAATGAATAGAGTACTTTGTCCCAGCAATAACATCAATTCCTATCCTGTGTTGATGTGGCTGACAACATAATTATAACAGATAATTATCGATTTCAGTCAGGATACAATCGCAAACGTTATTGATCGAAAAGGGTTGATGTACTGAATGGGAATCTCCTACTCTAGTGGATTGATTAAAGAATAGTCTGGTAATTTCCAAGATGTATTTGAGCATTCGTCGACTAAGAGATATTTCTTTGGATTTTTTCGACACAATGATGGATTGCGTACATCAAGAACATCAAAATTTGGGATTGGAAGAATCTTGCTATCGATTGTTGTAGCACATTATTAGTTCCTTTTTTCTGGATATCGTTTTTATTAGTGAGTTATTTTTCTATGGGATGAAGTCCCTAATCCCATGCCCAATCCTCCTCCTTTATCCGGGCTAGGGACCGGTAGTAGCCCCGTAGGGGCTGCAGTCGGAGTGACAACGCAAGAACAGCATTTCTACAATTGAAGAACATCTAGAACTCAAAACAATTATCAAACAAAACTAAAGTTACAAGGATCGTTCAGAATGAAGGAGGGGAGAAGCTATGATGAGTGGAATTCAACTGTGCGAAGAATGAGGCAGTTATCCAATGAACTCATGACATCAGAAGAACCTCACTGGAAATTATCGTAAACCAGAGCGACCACTCCACAATCACTATGGCAAACCAATCATTGAAATTCAAGGACATCCGAACAGGTAGTTTGAGCACCTTGAAGAACTCCTAAATAGGCCCACCCCATTGAATACACAAGCCACAGAAATAGTACCCACAGACTTCCTTGATGATATTACTCCACCAACAACAGGAGAAGTCAAACTGACCACTAGACAGATCAAGAGTGGCAAAATCGAGTGATCAGACAACTAATCAGCCGAGGCATTGTTAGCGGACAGAGAAGAAACTGTGAAGATTCTCCACACTCTCTTAGAAAAGATTTAAGATGGAGAACAAGCATCAACTCAATGGAAACAAAGAAACTTCATCAGGATAAGTGTGAGAACTACAAAGGCAACACTTTACTATCAATATTAGGAAAAGTTTTCAGCAGAGTGTAGTTAACAAAATGAGAGATTCAGAAGATATCCAGCTTCAAAATCAACAGACAAGATTCAGTAAAAATCGATTATGTACTAACCGAAAAGCGACAGTACAGATCATTGTGAAACAATCAATTGAATGGATTTCATCCTTGACTATGATGAAGCAATTCACAACAAGGACAGTGGGACATTATGAAGCCATCTCCAAAACTACGGTGCAACTGAGGAGACTGCCACCATCTGGCTGCATTTTTATGATGGATTTCATTTGAAAATGGTGTGTGGAGGACAGCTCACGGATTCACTTCATGTGGAGGTTGGGGCTTCTTACTCTCACTCATTCTTTCCCTCCTGGTAGTTGATTAAAATATAAAGACGTCAACATTTGATAGGAAGCAAGGCATACAATAGGCAGCTTGGATACAGCTAGACGATATGTACTTAGCGGATAGCCTGGTTCTTTAACCCTATTCACAGATGAAGACGGTCAGAGTTGTAGTAGTCTCTGACTAAGCAGGTCTCGGAATACACATGTTGAAAAGTAATACCGTCCAATAAAACTCAACATGCAAAAACTAAATCATAGAAATGAAAGAAAAGCTTTGAAAGACGTGGAAACTTTTACATACCTAGGAAGCATTACTGGTTAACACGGTGGTTAGGACACAAATGTCAGAATTTTCAATAAAAATGTGGAGTTGGTTCTATTCTATAGAGCGGAAATTCGTATAACTACGTAAGCCATCATCAACAACGTATATGTATCAATAAACACTTGTCCATGGAGAATAGTCCACATCCGTTGGCTAGATATAATCAGCGACAACAAATCATTTGACGTGGAATTCAAGAAAAAACGCTGGAGGTGAGATAGGAAACAAAAATACTAAATTCATCAACGTGTGTCATGGAGCAAGCTCGAGTCTTGGATTCCCAAGACAAACGAAAAACAGAATGACCAAACTATTGATTGGGCCAGGAATTCGAACCAGGTATCAAAAGGATGATGACATTGCTGTACTGGATAGACGTTTCACATACTTTAACGATACATGTCCAAGATTCTGCCCATCATCGTAGTCATGACCTCTGCGTTACTGTATGAATATCCTGATATCGTAACAATCATAAGAAAACTACTAACGCGTACCTGTTTTGCATATCTTTTCTATTAATTCTCATCGATAATTTTGCGACTTACTTGAGAATACGATTTAAGCAATTAATTTTTCGTGCTAAGTAGGGAAGTCGAATCACCTACACGTATGAAGTGACATTATCAATCAATATTAACAATAAGTAATTTATTGACCTGTGATCTGACTCTAATTAAGACAAACAACTGAATTAAGCTATGAAATAAATCTTTCCTTTGATTTCCGTATCTAACAATTTGGTTAACTTCGTTTGTACGATAGCTACAATTGAATGTGTCTGTCCATTAGTGACTAGGCTTCATGATGAAATTCTTGGAGTTCAAGGGAGAAAACGTGACGATCTCAGTTCACTCCAGTTGGATGTAGTCAGTAACTACCAAATACAGATGGGTGAGGTCGCATAAAAATCTGTAGATTAATCAGAGTTCGACATTAACACCGTCGGATACCGGTAGGGCGTTCGCGCGCAAGGCCGAAGTTCCTTGGTTCGAGGTGCAGGAGTCATGGATGCACACTGCTAATGAGTCCCATACGAGGACGAAACCGCTATCCATTGATTCCAAGGTTTCTACTGCTGGTCTAACAATAACTCACTCATAATTTTAAGATAAAACTACTACCAAGACATGTGGCCTCAGCATACAAGTATACACTGCAACACACAAAAATATTTCAAGTCGCTAAAACTACTTATTTGCAAGAGTAACCACTATGCTGCTTACATATTTTTCCTACATTTCTTATTTTATAGGTACTGATGAAGAAACAATCACTAAAATTTTAGGACATAGAAATCAATATCAACGTCACCAAATCAGTGAAGCATTTCAACGACGATATAAAAAGGTGATAAAATGATTTTCAATTTCGTTAATCCAATCAAATTACTTCACTACTTAATTACACGTGATATTTCTAATAAAGCTTGGGCCGCCAATCAGCATTCTCTAATTTTACCCTGTCCTGGGTTTTCCTTTAACAGTTCTGTCCAATTTTTATTCATTCTTTTCATTCCTCTCTCCATTTCTCGGCGTAATGTGTTCCTTGGTCCTCCTCTCTTCCTTTGACCTTGTGGATTCCTAGTGTGAGGGCTTGTCTTGTGATACAGTTAGGTGCTTTTCTCAGTATGTATCCTATCCACTTCCATCGGCTTCTTCCTGATTTCTTCGTCTGCTGAAATCTGGATTGTTCTCTTCTACAAAACATTGTTGCTCATAATGCATAGGGATTTCAAGAAGGAAATCTAATCAAGTTGAGTGATAGATACTACTGACTGAGTTTCTTTTTTCAGGATCCTTTTCGCACTGCACAAGTTAATCTGATAGTTAAGAACAAAACAGATATAAGTGAACTATAGTGTTGTTTCCAGTTAGATTGTCGTCGTCAAGCTTCATACTTTAAATCGTTTAGTGAAAATGTTGAATCAATCAAGGCAATTTATTTGTGAGTCAATAATCACAATGAAATGAATAGATTACGTAAGCGTTTTATAGTTCTTACTCTACGATTGTTAAACCTGTCTCCATACCTATCAACTTGTACTTTTCTACCTATTATGTGTGGAGTTATGTAATCTCTGTTTCATTTCATTGTGATTATTATTGACTAAGAATAAATTGACTTTATTTTCGTTTAATATTTTCATTATAAATCATTCATGTATATTTCAGAGAGTAAAAACCCTGGATCACACTCTAGTTGAAAGCAACATTATTGTTCACTTATATCCATGTTATTCTATTACGCATAATGGGAATCTTTAATATTTTAAGACTTAATATTAGGGAGAATTTTCGGCTTAGATCGTGATGTTACATAAGCCTGGTTTTTTTAAAGGTTATGTTGGGGACGTTAGATCCCCAAAATTCACTTGGAAAAGGTCCTAATTTCAGATTTTTTATGTTTTCGCGCATAAGTTGCTCAGTTGACCTTAAGGTTACATTTCCCACTCGAAAAATCCTTGACTGTCATTGGTTGATGGATTATTTTAGTATGCTGATATTGTGACTCTACCAAGGACGTTTTTTACCATGTATAAATAAACTTGATTTGTGTGCTTGTCAACTTCGTATTTTCTGGGTGTTTGTAGAATACATTCTCTACGCCTTATCAGGACTTCTTGATATAGTCAGCTGGGTCTGGGAAAGTTGGATTAGAATAGCCTATCGTGTCACTGGATAATTTGTCTTCGCTTCCGTTTACCGACTAAGTTGAACGCATACTAGTTTCAAGCATATCAGTTGACGAGCATATTAGGTCTAACAATCATCAATTCATGATTTCAATGAAAACGCAACAATCTGCATAACTCTTCAATGCATAGACTATGTGACTCGCAGTCACAAGTTTCCATCTTTAACTTAGTTATGGCGGTAACGTATTAGACGAAATAATCGATTTTTTTTCAAAATTCATTCACTCATTCAATTCAATGTTCAATTGTTTCATTTGTGTTGTTTTATTTTTATCTTCTCTCATCAAAAGGATTTAGTTAGTGTATTATGCAGTGCCACAAAAGGTGATTATGAAAGTCTCATTAAAACTTTATTTCGTGGAAGTCTACAAATATTAGCGCATGATTTATACAAGGGGCTAAGAAAACCAGATATTGTCAATGAAATTATATGTTGTTGTAATAATAGTGAAATTTTAATGTTAAAGAAAGCATATCAAGATGGTAATTTTTCTTATATTTGGATTTGTTATTTTTATTATTTTATCGATTACACAGTTCTATTTATATCAATGATCATACACAGTGGGTTAGATGTAATCGGGGGCGAAACCTCTATTAAATACACTTCATTTCTTAAAGATACATCTTACTTAACTTGCTTACGCGAGTTACCCCCAAATGGAGCACAAACAGCTGACCAGCCTTCTCCAACCTACTCTGTCCTAGACCTTCCTTTCAAGTTCTGTCCAACTGTCGTTCATTCGCCACATGTCTGTCTCCATTTCTCGGGCGTAATGTGTTCTTTGGTCATTCACTTTTCCTTGATGATTTCAAATGTGAGGACTTGTCTTGTGGCGTAGTTGTTTGTTCTCTACCATAGTAGGTTATTGTTGATAGTGTCTGACCAATGGATTCGAAATATTTCGCGTTTATAGATACATCGGTACACATCCATTTCACAAGAAAAATTTTTATTCAAATTAATCCTTCATATAAAAATCACTCAAATAAATAATTAGAGATTTATTTCATGAATTGACCAATAACACATTTGGATGGTAATCTGTTCTTACTAAAAATTGTAGAATATTAGATTCCTACCACAACTTGTTCAGATTTGTAGAAAGTAGTAAGACACTGTATAATGTATAATGAAATAACATACTTATACTTATTCTAAAGAAGTACAAATTTTTTTGCAAGATTGGAGAGATAGTATACCGAAACATAAATTAGTTATTCATTGACATCATGAAGCAATAATTGTTAGAACGCCATTAGAAACCTGAAAGTACTGGACGGCTATTCCTCTCCATAGTATGAGACTCATCAGCAGTTCGCATCCTTGACTCTCTGTAGCAGGAATCGAACTGAGGACCTTCAGTCTATGGTGTGCTAACGCCTAACTTCTAGACAACTGGACCGTCATCCATTCGATAAAAACTCGGCAAAGTCCTACAAGATCTCTATTTCTATGCTAATCATAGTAGTTTGGTGGAGATCACATGCCTCATCATGTTATCTGTTCCGATACGAAGTTCTTAAAACACTTGTCATATGTCCGATAACGATAAAAACTCAATTCACAGTGACTAATCAGGGAGATGGTATCATCAGTTACCTAACGAATTTAACCGAATCAGTGAATAAAGTCCAACATTGAGGAATATATTTTATTTACTTGACATATAGTTTATCGCATTACAGGTTTGTGAAGATTGTTAAGCTAAACATTTTGAAACCATGAATCGATCAATGTTAGATCACCATTAGAAACCTGGAAGCACTGAACAGCCGTTTCGTCCCTGTATGGGACTTATCAATGGTTCAGAGGTTAGGAGTGCACGCACAATACCAAGGGGTTCGAATCATGCGAGGTGCAGGAGTCGTGGATGCGCACTGTTGATGAGTTCCATACCAGGATGAAACGGCCGTCTTTCAGTGCTTCCAGGTTTCTAATGGTGGTCTAACATTGATCGATTCATGGATTCAAAATATAATTTATTGTATATGATTAACGTTTCAACATTTCTGTTGACTAAATAATCGATTATAACTTTTAAACGATAAATATATATTGGTTCTATTTATTACAGTGCTTCACGAAGAAGAACCCAAAAGTAAGAAATTATTTTATGAAATATTTTTATTTATAACATTATGTTACTCATAAGTAGTTAACGTGATGTTCTGCAAAATATTCTTGTCATCGGATAAATGAATTTAAGAACAATGCATATTTATCGGTTAGACTCCTTGTGGAGTACCTCTGAGGCTACTTTTGCCTCCAAGCCCGGATAATTCAGAAGGTTTAGACAACGGGGTTAGCGACTCCTTCCCATAGAAAACTAACTCGCTAAAAAAATACTCTAACCAGAAAAAAAACATTTGACAGAATAACATTGATCATTGATATCTTAATTTCAATTGAAACATTGAACAAAAGTATATTATTATTACTATTATTATTCTCATTATCATTATTTTCGCTCCCTTCCTTCATCTAGAAGCGTCACAACGTACACTTGAAACCGATGTAATTAAAGAGACTAAACCACCGTATGAACAATTATTGGTTGCATTGTTACAAGGTAAACGAGATGAAGATCCACCGGAATTGTTAGAAGAAGCATTAAGAACTAGAAACACGTCAAGATTGATTAATCATTATCAAGTAGATAAAGATGTTGAAGAATTGTATTATGCAGGAGAAAAGTAAGTTTTGATGAATAATCAGATTGTGATTTGTGATATATGTTTTGTGGTGTAGAAGTAGGTTGGAAGAAAGCTAGGGATGAGCCATACCAAAACATGGCAGAAATTCATGAAGTCATTGACAAGTGAACCGGGCCATGTTGATAGGTGTAGACCACTACCTGATTGGCATCCGCGAGATGATAGTAATCGATGGTTAGAGACTTTGAACGACATGGCTCAAAATCGTTTGAAACAGAGCATGTGTATCTGTAGTTTGCCCATTTCGATGTCGGGCTCACCATTTGTGGTGGCCAATTTCTACGTGTTCTTAAGCTCGGTAATTAGCTCGTCCAGACAATCGTTACTAAATAGCGTCTGACGGTTTATAAATCAGAAGGTGAACACAAAGTGTTGAATACGTTTAGTTTTGACACACCACATAGCGAAGCAGTGAATAAAACGAATGAAGCGACGTGAATTGGAGAAGGCTAATGAGCCAACTCAAAGAAATAGAGCATGACTAAGAATATATAGTCAGACAAAAATAAGACAGACATGTGATCAACGAGATAGGCATGCACACACATGAATAAAAGTGACGAATAGTTGACAAGGTCAAATGACAAGTGGGACAAGACATATGAGCTCATACAAACCAGACAATAATAAGAACGAATGGTACATATAAATTGTTGCAATACAAATGGCTTGGTTAAATAAATTAATCGAAAGGGCTTAACCAAGTTAGATGTAAGCGAACTGGAATATATGTGGAGGTAGTACATATCCACTCTTATTGTTCTCTGAAATTCTAACCTTCTGAATTCTTCATCATCTCTATCTTTCTCCTTCTAAAATTATCTCACTGAATTATATTAAATGAATCATATCTTCGCTCCCTAATCTTCTACATTACTGCTAACACTTATACTATCCCTAACACTATGTGATTTGAACAGATAATTGCATCTCTGTGCTAGTGTGGTACAGTAACTTGAACTGATGTAAGTACGTACGAAGTTCTACATTGTAGCTGATTGACTGATTGAAATCGATCTCAGTAACTAAATTTAACTAAACGGATTGATTGTATTGGTAAACTGAATGAAGATATTAAGCTTAGAAATTTTTTTTCACTTATGTGGGGAATTTTATAAATGTAAGTAACTTCGATCAATCCATGGTCTTACGCAATCTCTCAATCTCTACTGTCTTTGGGGGTCAGTGATTCACACCTGACAGAGTTTAAACTTAACTGCTCACGACTTCTCACTAAAACTAGTCACTAGTGAGCACACAATAATTTTGATTAAAGGGTTATGTTGAGATTGTTGGCTTTCATTGAAATCATGAATTGATCATTGTTAGATTACTATTAGAAACGTGGAAGCACTGGAAGATCGTCTCGTCCCTGAATCTAACTCGAGGGAATCGAACCCAGAACCTTCAATCCCGCATTAGAATGCCTAACCTCTAGACCACTGTTATGACTGGTCAACTGATATGCTTGAATGCTATTACGAGTTCACCTTAGTCGGTAAACGACAGCTAAGACAAATGATCCAGTGACACGATAGGCTACTCTAATCCGAGCGTCCCAAGGCCCCACTATCAGTATCAAAAAGTCTTGATATGGTGTAGAAAGTCTATTCTACAAGCACCCAAGAAATATGAAGTTCGAGTACACAAGAACAAGAAGGATCATTAAACTTTACAAACAATGCATATTTATACAGTTAGGTCAACTGTGAATACTAACCAATAAGAAACGACATTTAAAATTATGTGAACTTGATAGTTTAAGACGACCTTAAATATTGATCAATAGGGATCGACCAATAGAATTAGACTTACAAAATAATTTCTTAAGGATATGTAATAAATATCCTAACAACCACTGTGCCAGGGTTGAATGCGTACCACTGATGAGTCCCATACTAGGACGAAACAGGCTTCCAATGCTTCCATTTTTCTTATAGAGTGATCTACTAACAATGATCGATTCATTATTTCAAATAAAATTTAACTGATTGACAGAGTCATGTCTTTCTGTGTCATATCATTTACCAAATTTTCTTTTATTGTTTATGTGTGTGCGTGTGTTTGTGTGGTAATTTACGATCTAGACGTTCAGGTAAAGGTGATCCAGAAATATTTATCAAAATTCTAACAAAACGAAGTAAATCACATGTGAAAGAAATATGGGATTTATATTTAAATGTAAGTAAATAAAAGTACACAAAATAAATTCAGATAATAAATATACAATTTGAAAAAAATGTCATTGTACTTACTTTACTTACTTACTTACTTACACCGGTTACTCCTGATGAAGCGGAGGCCAGCGATCAACATTCTGTCACTAAATCTGTTCTGGATCTTTCTCTCTCGCTTGTTGTTCATTCACATTATGTCTATCTCCTGATTCTCGAAACAATGTGCTCCTTGGTCTATCAATTCTTCATTGGTCATGAGGGTTCTAAGTGGTAGGTTACATTATGACTCAATTAAGTGCTTTCCTAAATGTACGTCCTATCCATCTCCACTGCTTATTCATGATTTCTTCGTCCGCTGGAATCTGGTTTGTTCTCTGTCACCGTAGGTTGTTGCTGATGCTGTCTAATGAACGGATTCTAAATATTTTTGCGTAGACAATCGATAATAAACACTTGTATCTTGTGGATGATGACTTTTGTAGTTCTCCAAGTGTCTGCCCCATACAGTAGAACTGTCTTGACGTTTGTATTAAAATTGTGACTTTGATATTGGATGATAGATATTTTGAGTTCCATATATTCTTCAACTGTAAAAGTATCGCCCGTTCTTCCTTAATGTGTGTCTTTACATGTGCATCAGATCAATATTATTAATCAATAATTCTGCCCAGAGATTTAGAGGTTATTCCATCTTCCGAAGATTCTTCATTAAGAGTGATTTGTTTGGTGCATGTTGTGTTGTGTCAGAAAATTTTGCTCTGCCCTTTGTGTATGTTGAGACCTGCTGCTGCTACACTGGTCGTCTTCTCTTGCATTTGTTGTTGCTTGTGAGATAGAAGAGCCAGACCATTTGTATAGTTCAAATCGGTCAGCTGCATCCTGGCTGTTCACTGTATGGCATGCTTCCCTCCAGATGTTAGCGTCTTCATAATCCAGTCGATCACTAGGAGAAAGACAAAGTATGACAGTAAGCAACCTTGTCTGACATCGATCTTTACACTGAATGAGTCAGTGAGCTATCCTTTGTGCACAATTTTTCACCTTGTCAACTTATCCAATAATAACTGTGACTGTTTCTATTACAGGGCATGTGTATGAATCGCTTACTCTACTCGCCAAGTGTCTTTATTTAATTTTTTTAATGTATACGAGTGTGGAACTCCTCAGCAGTGCGCGTCCACGACTCCTGCACCCCGCAGGATTAGAACCCAGGACCTTCGATATTGTAGGCGAACGCCTAACAATCGGACCACTGAGCCTGTTCGTGTGTAGACAGTAACTACCGAAGACTGTGTATGAGGTTGCGCAACTCCGTGAATTGATCAACTGATCCGATGGTTAGGCGTTCGCCTACAATACTGAAGGTCCTGGATTCGAATCCTGCTGGGTGCAGGAGTCGTAGATGCGCACTGCTGAGGAGTCCTATACCAGGACGAAACGACCGTCCAGTGCTTCCTGGTTTCTAATGGTGGTCTAAAATTGATCGTTTCATGGTTTCAATAAAACTTAACAATCTTCACAACCCCGTAATGTATATAAGTAGAAAGTAAAGTTTCATCAGACCAACTTGGCACACTAGCCTTCTTCATTGAGCTTTGAAACGAATACTTTCAATTTAATCCGTATTTGGCTTCTAATGACAGCCTTCCCACAAAAGGGATTAGTCTAAGTGTAATTAACACATGATTCCATTGAAGGCCGAAATTACACAAATCCAACATTTCACTGCGTCCAATGTAATCCCTCCCAGGAACCCTAACAAACAACATATCAAGAGAAATTTCAAAGATATTGAAACAGTTAGTGGATTCACACATTAAGCCACCCATACAATTCTTCGATAAACTCAAGGATGTTCATACTGACAACGATGAACTAATGATATCCTTTGGCATAACAACCTTATTTATCTCAATCGAATTAAGCCTAATGAAAGGAACTCTATCCCTACTCCTCATCAACGACAGAAATCTCCCGAAGTATACGAAACTTCAAAGTCAAATTGTTCTAGAACTCTTTGTTCTGTGTTGAAAAATATATGTGCAACTCAACAATAAAAAAGCCTATGAACAAACGAAATGAACACCGACAGGATCACCAAAACCAGGACTTATCATAGAGACCGAGAGGCGAAGACTAAAAGCATCGGTTTTACAGGTGATCAAGCCAAAAACGTGGGTTCGCTATGTAGACGACACAGTCATCATTATTAAAAAGAACGAGCTGGAGAACATCTACAATCAGATCAACAGAGCCTTTGATGACATAAAATTCACATTTGAAAGAGTCAAACAACGCTTTATCAACTGAAGACTCAGGTCTATAGGAAGTCAACCCACACAGATCTGATTCTCAGTTACAGTTACAACAACTCACATAATTAACTGTACGCAGACTTTATTACAGAGAGAGAGAGAGGAAACACTGCAGCACACAGGAAGCACGAAAAATCGAAGAAAAGTATCTAATGATTAGCTTCCGAAAGAACGACTATAAACAGAAGCGAAATTAAGTAGGGGAACCCCCAAACAGATCATCTTGCGACACATAAAAGACAAATCGCAAATTACAGTTTGACAACTGAAACCATTTGGAATAGGTGTGGCACACAAATCAACAGAATCACTTCAATCAATCCTGTGTAGACCAAAAGATAAAATGACAAATGAAGAAAAACCAAATATCATCTACAAAATAAACAACTGCTCAGACTGTGAAAAACACTACATGAAACAAAGTGCAGTCAAACGCCATGAAATTTCTTCTCTTATTTCAAAACATACGGACAACTATGGACATAAATTCGATTGGGACAATTTAGAAATACTGGACGGAGAAAGAATAAAGAACACTAGAGAATTTTTAGAAGCTTGGTACAGTCAGGTCAATCAGCAATCAACGAACATATAAACATAGATCCAATCTATCAACAAATCAGAAAAATCATAGACAAACACAGGATCAAGAAACAGATCAAAAGGGGGATGCAATCAAAATAAAGCTGGAAATAACGACAGGTTTAAGGTCAACAGCAACCAATGAAGACCGAAGTCAACAAGACAAGCTATGAGTCATACGTGGAGAAATTTGAATACTTCAGAAGAACAACGAAAGCTCCTCAATCAAAACACCCACAGCTCAGAGAACGAAATCCCGCCACAATCTTTGTTCATATCATATCGAGAGAAAGTAATTTCTCCCATAAACCTACGCTAACTGAAGAACGATTCAAAAACAGTGATCATTGAGTTGATATAAAACACTTTGTTCTCAAATTTCTCAATCGCTACACAAGAAGGACTCGATTAGGAATGTAAATAACAGCAAGCACACTTGATTATGAGATTCATAGCTTCAAGATGGACATAGAGAACTATCTCAAGAAAGAGACACTTCGAAATCTAAATGGATCTACGTGATAGATTTGGCTCAGTTTTCAATTTATATTTAATAACTGACATTATGGGATTATAAAGATTGTTGAGTTACTTTTTAAAATCATGAATAAATCAGTGATAGACCACAAATTATAAACCTGAAAGCACTGAATAGCCGTCTCGTCCTGATATGAGACTCATCACAAGTGCACATTCATGGTTCCTGTAACTCGTAGGACTCCAGCCCAGAACCTTCAGACTTGCGCGCGAACGCCTAAACTTTGGACCACTGAGCCAGTTTCTAACGATGTTAGGGTCCGACTACAGTCAATTTGCGGTCTTGCGCAACCTCATCCATAGTCTTCAGTGAGCTCTGCTTCATACATATTTTATACAGAAAAACTTCAGCAAAACAAAACTATTGTACGTTTTGTGTTTAATTCTGCTTTTCTATTCTTTCAGAGATATCGCACCACATTAGTCGAAGCTATATCGAAAAAATTCTCTGAACCGTTTAGATCAGGGATAAATACAATGAGTAAGCCAAAATGTTCACATATAATTTTTCGTTTGTATATATATATATATATATATATATATATATGTATATATATATATATGCATTTGGTTTATATTTAACGGTTGACCGATATCACATGACAAAACAAACCACGAATCAGAATCCCGTTCCGGCGCCAATGACCTTGAGTCAATTGCATAAACCCTTAATAACCCAACAACCTTGAGTCCTGCTTCCTCTTACCCTGCCTCTTTAGTCTAATAAGTCTGTAACCAGCCTTCATCAATAATTATATTTGATTATAGGGTTCAGTAGATTTTTCGAGATTCATTGAAATCATAAATCGTGACCATCATTGAAAACAAGGAAGTATTAAATGGCTTTTTTCCGCCGCCAGTATGGAAATAATCAGTAGTGCTCATCTAGTACCTATTACGCTTACACGTAAACACGTCATGTTGGTTTGCTTGAACTATTACGAGTATACCTTAGTCGGAATACGAGAGCGAGGATAGAGGATCCGGCGACATGACATGCTACTCTAATCCGATTATCCCAACACCCAATATTGAATAAAAATAAGAAGACATAATATGAAGTAGAAAGTGTATGCCACAAGCATCCAGAAAGTACGAGGTTCGAATCCAGAAGAGAATCAGGATCCCGGACTAGGGATCCGGGACTGGGTCCTGATCATAAAACGTCACAGATAATGCGTATTTATACATTTTGGTCGAATAGGAAACAGCATCGAATTCTGTGACATTGACAGTTAAGATGACCAATAAGAGACAACATTGAAGTATTTGACTTTGACAGTTAAAACGACCATAATTTTGACCAATAGAAATCGACCAATAGGATTTGACCAATAATTCTCTTAGGATATTGGCTGAATATGAATATCCTAACAATGGAAATGAGTCGCAGTTCATTTTGAAAGGTCATTTATCTTGTAAATAAAATTTAAGGAGTGCATGTTTTCCGCGCTTAAAAGTGTTATTTTTTTATAATACTGATTATCTATTATTGTATGAATAGTTATTGAAATTAACCGAATATCAACCTGACCTCATATTAAAAAGTGAGGTTAATTAGTTAGGAATATATTATCGACAGCTATATCATTGAACATAGCTAGAATGTTTCTTTTCGATTCATACTAATTTACTTATAATATAAGTTGAAGTGATATGAAAAGAACTGTAGATTGATAATAGAAAATTAGAGTATTGTATGAGTAGGTAATGACACTAGGAAGGTTTTCAGTCAGATTCAAACCAATAATTAGTGCAGATGCATGTTGTTAAATAGTGACTCATCGGCTAGATGTACCTGATTTCAAGTAATTATCCACTCTGAGACTCGAACCTAGTGCTGCTTACTTCAACTGCGAGCGCGATTTCCACCGACTTACTGAATACGGTTAGCCACTGGCTTGTGTAATGGGAGTGATGCATGTATATCCAGTTGACGAGTCACAAATAGAATACCCTATCAGACCACCATTAGAAACCTGGAAGCACTGGTGTAGACAGTAACAATCGAAGACTGTGTATGAGGTTGCGCAACTCCGTGAATTTGATCATGTTAGACATTAAGACCGTTAGATACCGGCTCAAGTGGTCCAATGGTTAGGCGTTCGCCTACAATACGGTAGGTCCTGGGTTTGAATCCTGCGGGGTGCAGGAGTCGTGGATGCGCACTGCTGATGAGTCCCATAGGAGGAAGAAACGGCCGTCCAGTGCTTCCAGGTTTCTAATGGTGGTCTAATATTGATCGATTCATGGTTTCAAAAATGTGTAACTTAACAATCTTCACAACCCCGTAATGTAATTATGCTTGTAACTTAATGTCAACAATGAGGCAATCCACAGTGGATGCATATAGACCGAAGAGGCAGATAGACTTCAATCCTAAACAATAATAGAAGATAACAGCTCAGTGGTCCACAGGTTAGGCATTCGCATGCAAGACCGAAGGGCTTAGGTTCAAATCCTGAGGGTGGCGGAAGTTGTGGATGTACACTACCACTAATGAGTCTCATACCTGGACGAAACAGCCGTCCGATGCCTCGAGCTTTCTAATAATGCTCTTACATTGATGGATTGATGATTTTAAAAATATCTGTCCAACTAATTTAAATGAATTAACTTTGATAATTTAAAAATCCTATAATTTTTATTTTCTTTTAAAAACAGTTATGGCATTGATTGATCTGCGACTACTATTAGTCTGTCAATTGTATGATAGTATGTATGGACTTGGAACACGAGAGGATACGTTGATACGAATCACTTGTTTACGATGTGAGGTATGTAGATCGATAAATTTATCAAATAATATTAAGTGTTTGTGATGACGTTTACTAAGATAAAAACGAAATGAATATAGTTTGAATTTACTTTTCTGATCATCAGTTTTTTGTAGCGAGTTAGTTATCTATCTATAGGATGAGGTCACTAACCCCACCGACCATTATTCCTTTCTTATGCACGCTTGGGATCTGCAGTAACCTTAGAGGGGCTCCCAAGAAAACTGTTCAATCAAATGACATAACAATGCGTTTTGACAAAGCTAAAAGTAATTAGTGTGTTATTAGAATTTATGTTTACCGTTGTAAAAAATGTATCAAAACACTCAATATTGAAGCACAATGAAAACTGGTATAACAAGGTTACTAAATACTTTTGTACAGCACTAATGATTTGATTTGTGAGTGAACTGGAAGATTAATCGGTTGTCTAATGAACGCTTAATTAGAGAGATATTTCCTGAACTTTTAACCGACAGATTTATTCTACATGGTATTGAAGTGACGTCAGATGATCCAGCCCCATGGTAGCCGAACACCAACAATATGTTCATACACCAGTCGTTTCCCCGTGATCCTGGAGCGTATGTGAGCCATTGGTTAGGAGTAGGGGTTTTCTCTTGGGGACGTTAAATCCCCAGAAGTGACTTGGAAAGGTCTTAATATCGCAATCCCCACTCGGAAACTCTTTGACTGTCATTGGCTGATGGATTATTTTAGTACGCTATTTTGTGGCTGGCACCAAGGGCATTTCTATAATTGTATATATAAGTTTGATTTATGTGCTTAGAGACCTCGTATTTTCTGGGTGCTTGTAAAATACACTTTCTATGCCTTACCAAGACTTCTTGATCTAGTTAACAGGGCATAGTACAGTCGGATTAGAATAGCCTATTATGTCACTCAGTCATTTCTCTTTGTTCGGTTTACCAAGTAAGGTGAACTCGTAATAGTTTCGAGCATATTATTGATACGTTCGTCACTAGTTACGCTTGAAGCTATTACGAGTTCACCTTAGTCGATAAACGCGAACGAGACAATGAACCAGCGTCCATATAGGCTACCTTGAATCCCAAGCTGAAGACAGAAGGCTTTGTAAGCGTAGAAAGTATATTCTACAAAAACCCAGCAGTCACAATCCAATCAAGTACACAACTCTCGTTTATTTATACATCATAGAAACGTCCTTTGGACAGTTACGAAAATAGCACACTAAAATACACAGCAGCCAATCACAGCCATGGATGGGAAATGAAATCTCAAGGTCAACTGATCAGCCCATGCTGGCAAACGTGAAATCCAAAATAAGGCATTTATCAAGCGAGTTCTGGGGATCTAACATCCCCAACAATTATTGTCAAACTCCCCTTCATAGAAAGATGCTTCACACCCATTAAACTGGTTTAGACACCATACACACGCTTTTCACCCTCTCAATTTAATGAACAATACCTATGCTACGAGGAGTCAGTGAATAGGACTTACCTAACAGTGTCTAGCAATACGTATGACCATATGACAGCATTTTGAAAACAAGTGCAGATTCTCCCTTCTCTCAACCGTACCATCACATTTCGAGGCACATATCACAGGGAAACAATTATAAAACCGTATATTGCCTCTCTTTCTCATCTAGATTCAATGATTTCCTCTTCATGATTGATGCTAATGTGTTCTTTCAAATTTTTTTCTCATCTTCATTAGGTTGATATGAACACATTGAAATCAATGTATCGTGAATATTTTGGGAAACCATTGATCGAGGCAGTCCGTGAAGATACATCCGGTGATTTTCGTAAATTACTTTTAGCATTATTAGGTGAATAATTATATATATATATATCAGATTTACTTCACAAAAAATGTGAAAATTTTGGACCAAAAAAGCAAAAAACAAATTGTGAATGCATATTTCATAAAAACAAACTAAACAAACTAAACAAGAATAATTTTTTTTTTCAAAATGCTTCTTTTTATTATTATGAATGAAAAAACAATAAAACATTGAATAATAATAATGTTACGCCTACACGTAAACATGTTATTTTTAATATGCTTAAATTATTACGAGTTTACCCCTTAGTCAGAAAAACGAGTGCGAGAATCGAGGATCCGGCGACACGACATACTACTCAAATCCGATTATCCCAACCCTCATATTGAATCAAAAATAAGACAAGACTTGATATGAAGTAGAACGTGTATGTCACAAGCATCCAGAAAGTATGAGGTCCGAGTCCAGAAGAGAATCATGATCCCAGACTAGGGATCCAGGTCCGGGTTATAAAACGCTACAAATAATGCGTACTTATACATTTAGGTCGAATAGAAAACAGCATCGAAGTCTGTGACATTGACAGTTTAAAACGACCAATAGGAAGTAACATTTGAAGTGACATTGATAGTCAGAACAACCAATAAGAAACAACATTGGAGTACGTGACATTGATATCTAGGACGACCATAAAATTGACCAGTAGGAATTAACCAATAGGAATTGACCAATAATTCTCTTACGATATTGGATGAATATCCTAACAAACAATAAAACTACATTTTTTTGCTAAAATCATAGATCAATCATTGTTGGAATACCCCATTAGAAACATGGAAGCACTGAATGGCCGTTTCATCCTAGTATGGGACTCATTAGCAGTGTGCATGCATCCTTGACTCCTACTTACGGGAATCGAACCTAGGATCTTCCGCCTTACGTACGAACGCTTAACCTCTAGATCACTGAGCAGACATTCAATAGTGTTAATGTCTAACTTTGATCAATCTAAAGTTATGCGCAGTCTCACCCAACTATCTTCAGTAGTTGCTGCCTTCATCCAACAGGATTCAACTGAAACGGTCACGGCTTCACACTAGAACTACGAGGATTTCCTGACAAAATTAGTCACTAATGAGCATATCTTTAAAAATTATTTGTCACTCATATTGTGTTTAGTCTGTTATCGCAACAAAAAATCCACGTATTTCTAACAACTTATCGATGTAATCAATGGAATTAGAACAGACTGAGTCAGTCAGTTACAACGTAGAACTTTGTATATAAGTTCATGTTCCCGTACCACATCAACGAAGAGACGCAAGTATTAGTTCAAATCCCGGGGTGGTAGAAAAAGTAAAAGTATTAGCAGTAATGAAGAAGATTAGGGTTCGAAGATATTATCCAAGAAGTATAATTCATTGAGATAACTTTAGAAAGAGAAAGATAGAGATAAGGAATCCAAAAGTTTAGAATTTGAGAGGATACAACGCACCTGTGCCATTCCAAACGATTTTTAGCCATGTCATTCAAAGTCTCTAACCATTGGTGACTATCGTCCCACGGACCTCAACCAGGTAGTCTACATCTACCAACATGACTCAGTCCAATAGTCAGTGACTTTATGGATTTGTGCCATGTTTTGGTTTGGCTGCCCCTAACTTTCTTCCAACCTACTCCTGCACCATAAAACATAATTAGAACAGACTCTACAAGAATAGTTCGATAGGAAGTATTTAGAGATTAAAAAAAAAAGCGATTTCACCATTGAGCATGTACATTTGGAAGCATCACCGTAAAAGGGTGTTATTTCTTTATTGATATTTATTATTCAATAAAAGTAGTATATACACATGAAGAGCATAACAATATAATACATGAAACACTAGCTTCTTTATTCGTCGGACGGTTATCTGATACTAAGAACTAGCGTAGACAGAGAAATCGGACTGTTTCTAAATTTGCATATGGACCCTAACATTATGGAGTATAGATATGCCGAATAACGACCCACTAAAGCTGGATCTTCTTACCTCAAAAGATGCATTAAACTCTATTGTTCAACAGGTTTATTGACAGTGTCAGTCATCAGCATCAGAAGAAGGATTTGATTGTGACCAATTTAGTCTCGTGTGTTTTTAAGGGTATGAGGGCGAATGTTATTCCCCGATTGTCCATACCGTGGAAGGGTGTTACTTGAGGAACCTGAAAAAGAAGGTAGATTAGTGTTGGACTTAACGACCTGGCAGCGTGACCGCAGAGCCAAAAGGACAACTGCTTGAGGCCGGTCACTCACGGTCTTCTTATGAAGGTTTTTTTGAGTATTAGTTCCGCTCTTATTGGGCAGCCCTTACCGACGGAGACAGAAGTCCGTGAGGTAAGGTGAGGTGTGTAGCAGCTATGGTCGGGATCAGAACTGAATCTACCATGTACAAATCTGTTACTGGAACACTAAGTCATATCTGAGGTTATAGTGAACTGCTACTAGAATTATCGATACAAACATATTTAATCAAAGTCGCTCACCACCCTCCTTTTTCCGATTCGTCAAAGATGTCCTTCAAGAAATAACACTCGCCATCTAGTTTCTCAGCTGTCGACCGTCTATTAGGTTTACTTATTAATTTAGAGTAAGTAGAAAGGGTGTTTGGTCGAGATTTTGACAAAATCCAATTTTCCAGTCGCTTTGAACAATAATGCGAACATGTTTGAGATCCATTTCTCTCAATCGAAAAATATGAGGTGTGTCGATGCATCTGCGTGTTCTTATAGCTCGGTTTATAAATCAGAAGGTGAACTCATATTGATGAATACGTTTATTCGGAACACACCACAAAGCGAAGCGGAGAATTGGAGAATGCTAACAGACAACTCATGGATTACAATGCGAGCGAATGGGAGAAGCGAATGGGAGAATGCTAAGATCCAACTCAAAGAGATAGAACATGACTCAGAATATAAAGTCAGATAAAAATAAGACAGACATATGACAAGCGAAATAGATATGCACACATATGAATAAAAGCGACGAATGATTGACAAGGTCAAATGACAAGTGGGACACGTCATGTGAGCTCCTCATACAAACCAGATAATAAAAAATACTAATGGTGCATATAAATTGTTGCAATACAAATGGCTTGGTTAAATAAATTAATCGAAAGGACTTAACCAAGTTAGATGTAAGCGAGCTGGAATATATGTGAAGGCACTACAAATAAACTACTGCCTCTGGATTAGTTTGTATGAAGGCCTGAACTAATTATAGGGTAAAGAATAGTTCAGAATTCTGATCTTTTAATTTAACTTGAAAGTTTTATCAGATCTGGTAGTTGATAAACTCTCGGACCAGATTCAAAGAGTTGTCACTTATGGTGTCGATGAGATGTTCGTGCATGCTGACATATTAGACAGACAGATACAACGCAGAACTTCGTACATAAGTACTTCAGTTCAGGTTGCCATACCACATCAGCACAGAGACGCAACTGTCAGTTCAAATCCAACAGTGATATCAGCAGTAAGGAGTGAAGATATGATTCGAGAAGTATAATTCAGTGAGATAAATTTAAAGGAGAAAGGTAGAGATTATGAGGAATTTGGAAGGTTAGAATTAGAGAGAACGCAAACGGTGGATACACCTGCGGCATTGCAAACGATTCTGAGCCATGTCGTTCAAGGTCTCTAACCATCGGTTACTGTCGTCTAGCTGACCCCAACCAGGTAGCCTACATCTACCAACATGACTCAGTCCACTTGTCAGTGACTTCATGCATTTCTGCCATATTTTGGTTTGGGAACATACGAAGATCGAAACATTGGTAGCTCCTGTGATTGTTTTTATATATATGGTCACTACACCATTGGATTCCTATTCTTACATTCGGTTAGTTGTAAGGTCTCGTTTAACGCAATAGCTATCATACGGCTTCGTATTGCTAATCTTTTTTGTTCATGAGAGAGGATGTCACTTTCCAGTTGGCTATACTGTGGGTTTTTCTTGAGGAATCTGGAAGGGATAAGCGCTGATCTGAGCGACATGGGAGCCTGATCACAGAGCCCACACAGCGTTTTTATGGGAAATCGACGTGTTAGCTCCGCTCACTAAATGGCCTTACCTGCAAGAGATCCACGAGGTAAGGTGTGATATTATTAGGGTCGGCCGATTCTAACCCCTTCATTTCTTGTGAGAAGGCTGCATCACTGTAGATGCTGGTTGTCAGAAGGAAACACCTTACCGCCGTCACACCTCTCTACAGTCAGCAGCACAAATTTGCCCCCCGAACTTAAGTTGCTGCTATAGTCTAACCGTTCTTCAATCGACCTGCTTGGCATTGTAGACCAACAGGAACATAAGTTCCAGCCAATATATCTCTGTTGGGTCATCAACATAGACAAACCCGACTACCAGCTCAAGGTAGCAGCCACAGTCATGAATCCCAACACGAGCTGCACTAATGCGACAAGTATGACAGCTTAACACCCAATCCACATCCGCACCTAATTCATAGTCTACTCTTACTGTACACAATTGAACATAACATAACTTTAAAACGTGAACGCTGAGAGTAAACATGAATGGTTCATTCAACAAGAGAACAACCAACGAACCAACCAATTAAAACACACAAGAGAACAAAATTTCAATATTATATTATTTTTTCTTTACACAATCGATGAAACAAACAAACAGAGAAAAATTCAAAGAGATGAGATGATGAATGATGAATACATGTGAATGTGAATTCATTTCATTGATATTCTCTCATCAATCCCTCAAACCCAGTCAGTCAGTCATTTTATATGTACAAAATCGATAACTGAACAAAAAATTTGAAAAACTATAAACTCTGATTATTATTAAAGTATTAAATGCGCACAATTTCCATCATAAATTAAGTTGAACTGGATTGAATTGAGTCGGAGAGTAGGGTAGGGTAGGGCAGTTAGGTAAAGTTACACAATGAAAACAGGAAAAAGAAAAAAGATGGTGCCCCATGAACATTTCGTCTGATGGTTTGGTTGAACTGGTGATGATGATGATGATGATAAAGATTGAAAATAATGTTTTAATTTTTGAAGAGAGAAGGAGAAGTGTGAATAGTTGAGCGTCAATTTATGACTGTGTGTGGATGTGTGTTGGTGACCAAGAGAGAAGTACAGCGAGATGTGCATGTGTGTGTGTGTGTGCGTGTGCACGTATGCATGAAAAAAAATGTCAATCAAAGAAAAAAATCAATTGTAAAACACAACATTGCTCCCTGATACAAAACTTTACCAGGAGAGAGATGAAACGTTGTGTGTGGTGATGTATTTTTTTTGCGGGGGAGGGGCGGAGTCCGAGAAAATTGTTTATTACATTAGATCAATACATAGATACACTAATCATAATCATATTAAAATTATATCAAATATATGAACAGTACAATAATGGTAATAATAATAAGCAAACCATAATGACTAGAGAGACATACACACACACACACACAGAGAGACAGAGAGAGAAAATGAAATAACACATGAATTATACACAAGTACACGTACACACACACACACACACTTAAACGAGTAAAATGATCATTTATATATTCATAGGATTACAGAGAAGATATTCATGTTTTAACAAGATTAGTAGTCAACGACGACGACGTTGGCGATGTTGTTGCTGTTGTTGATGGCGGTGACGAGAAGGAGGTGGATGGAGATGAAGGGAAAATGGAGTGTTTCGATGCGACAACAGCACTTGCTAGTGTTGTAGTACTGGTAGAAGAAGGAGAAGAAGGTGAAGAAGAACAGATTACCGCTGTAGATGTTGCTGTCGTAGACGTGTAGTTGTGTTGACTGGTAGAATGTGATTTGACAGAAATCGCATTCACATGTTGATGATAACGTGAAATCATTTGACTAGCTAATTGACGTTGATTCAATGGAATTGTATCAGGTGGTATAAGAATTAATGAACCATTCGGCGTGATTTTCACTGGTTTTGCATCTTCTGTAAATAGTGTATTACAAACACGATAGATTTTACGAACAGGTGTTGATAATGTTTTATTATTGCATAGTGTACTACTAATACTACTACTAACAGTTGTAGCGGTAGTAGTATGATTTGATAAATGTGCTGAAGTCAATGGGGATTTCGGTGATGACATCATCATCATACTTGATAGCGGTAGATTGCTTTGATTTGATACTGAAGAACCGGATACAACACCATTGGAATACGATGTACTTGATGATGATGATGACTTACTGAAACTTGTACTGCGTAGAATAGCAGGTGATCGAGATGTACTGGATCGATGATGATAGGTTGAATGTGATGATATACGTGGAAATGAATGAGTTGTTAGCCTACTACTACTACTCTTAGCATTAGTATTAGTATTCTCTGTAGGACTGGTTGTTGTTGATTTCACTGGTGTTCCTGTAGCCGATGATGTTGGTCTTGGCAATATGGACACATGTCTACTTGGTTCCAACATGGCAGATCGACGTATTTTTGGCCATAATTCATCAGTATTAAAATGTGCTGAAATAGGCATTTTGGCTGCACCACTTGCACTAATACGTGATGCAAATGCTTGATAACTATTATTTGAATGAGAAGTTTTCATTTTATTATTATTAGTATTATGATTATTGGCAGGGCTCATTGTGACAGTGATTGATTTATGCAAAGGTTTTGATGATTTTTTAATATTCTTCTGTTCATCATCAACAGATCGACAGTCGAATTGATTTTCATTAATGTCATCATTGTTGGTGTAGTCTTCTTGTGCACGAAGTTGTTCACGTCTCAGATGTCGTTCAGCACGATCTTTTGATAGATCTGTTTGAGTTGGTGTTGGTGACTGATTGGGAGAGGATTCGTGATGGTTTAGTGGGTTGTTTTGATTTAATTTCGACTGTTTTCTATTTTTTTCAGCCTATCAAAGAGAGAAAAAGGTGTTTTTTTAAAACACAAAACTGTTAGTAATCATATTCTCAATTAAGACTGCAAAAGAAGCATAAATGATCAGGACTTCATAATGTATTCTTGGAGTTCTTAGTGAAAAGTTGTGACTAATGGACTTCAATCCATGTCGGCTAGCAGATAGTTATCCACTATAGGCAATCAATGGAGGTTGCGCAACACCATGAACTGATTGAAGTTAGATAAAAACACAACTGGATGCCAACTCAGTAGTCTTAGAGATTAAACGTTCGTGCACGAGACCGCAGGTTCTAGGTTTGATTGTCACTGAAACAGGCTGTGGAGATGTGCACTGCTGATAAGTCTCATACTATGCTGAAATGGTTATTCAGTGTTTCCAGGTATCTAATGACGGTCTAGTTAAGATCAATTTGTCATTTCAACTGTGAAAATCATAAAAACCTCTCTCTATAAATCCCTTTCACCATTGTCATATAGAACTGATTTTATTCACTTATAAGATTATTCATTGTACATTTTGTGAAGAAAAACATCGCAAAGCACAGGAAGAACACAGCTAGGATGGACGATTTGCAATTCGCAAATGATCTTGCCCTTTTGTCCCATATGCAGCAAACAATGGCAAGGGAAGACGGACAATGTAGCAGCAGCAGGTACCAACATAGACAACATGAACTGATGTACTTATGTACAAAGTTCTACGTTCCATCTGACTGACTGACTGACATAGACAAAAGGAAAAGCAAGATCCTCCGATATAACACAGAGAGATACAACCAAATCACACTTGATAGAAAAGCATTAGAGGATGTAGAAACATTTGCATATCTAGACAGCATCGATGATAAACAACATGGATCCGACTCAGTCTTGCCTATCGTCATGACCCAACCAAGCTATATAGGGTGGAACATATATTACTATAGGTTCGATTGGAGAACGGTGAGACTAAAAGCAGCAACTCAATCTTTGAGGATGAAGTCATACTGTTGACTGTAGAGAAGTGTCACAGAAGTAAGGTATTTCCATCGGAAAGCTAGCATTCCCTTTCTCCTGCAACTACGTTCTAAACTACATTTAGGAGCCTTCAATGTTCGGACGTTGTGTCGAATAGGGCAACGGGCTTCCTTAGTTAGGACTCGTGCAATCGATGTATGTCACGTCTCGTAAACGCGCATACATGATCCGAGTAGCATCATTCACTCGACTTCACCATACCAAAATAAAGAACCATCATGATTCAAGCTTGGCGTATCTGGTAGCCTCACTTCTGCCAGTAAAGAAGGATTCAGTAGGTTAGAGAATGCTAGTCGGTAGCCTATGCTCCATTAAGGGTTACAAGTGTAAGTCATGAATCGACCATTGTTAGACCACCATTAGAAACCTAGAAGCGATGGACGGCCGTTTCGTCTCAGTATGGGACTACTACTCATCAACAGTACGCATCCACGATATCCGACTCTAGACAGATACCGCAAGATCAGTGGTCTAGAGAATAAGTGTTCACGCGCGAGACTGAAGGTCCTGGATTCAATTCCTACGAGCGGGGATCGCGGATGCACTCTGCTGATGAGTTCCACACTGGGGGGCGCAACGGCCGTCCAACACTCCCATGTTTCTAATGGTGACCTGTTTAAATAATATATATACTCAATCAAAATTTCTACAAATAACTTGCCTGATTCAGTTCCCATTGTTCAACATCTTTACGTAATCTTAGACGAGCTAGACGTTGAGCATCAACACGTTCACTGTCTCGATTCACTATAGATTGATACAATTGTTGTAAATTGTTAATAAGATTTTTTAATGATTTAATTGCATTACGCAATCGTGTGGTTTTCTTGAATTGTTTTTTTGGTTCGCCATCATCATGATAGAAATGGGAGAGAAAAAACGACAATTATTATGTAATAACTTGTAAAATCATTCAAAACTATGCTACTAAAATTGATTGGAAACGTTTTGATACGGTCTGGAGTAAGCAGAGTTCGCTCTCTATGTCACTTCAGATACTCTTACATAACTACGCATGTATAGCCACTGGAAGTCCTCCTTACTGCTGTCTCCCAGTGGGTTAGGGTGTGGCTTATGAAATAGAGAGAAGAACAACTGAATGCCCGATCAGGACTTAGACGAGTTTGGTGAACAAGGAGAATCCACTTGGGCGGAGGTGAACTTCAGGATCATGATGCAACAAGTGGTATGTGGACCCACTGTTCGTAACTGGTATCCATGGGATGGCAATTCCTGACGTTGCTGAACTGACTTAAGGGGGGTTGAGCATAAATTTAGCAATCCCATTTGTTAGAAATCAGATTTGCTAAAAAGAAACGCTAACTAGTAAAACTCAACACCTAGAGCCAAGGATAAATATCCATTAACCAAAGTTTTCATACCAACTTAAACTTTTTCAAATTAAACATTTATTCTCAACCATTGGACATCAAAGATATTTATTGATTTTGATTGGAGACGTTAGATCTCCAGAACACACTTGGGAAAGGTCTTAATTTTGGGTTTTTTATATTTACGCTCATAGGTCGCTCATTTGACCTTGAGATTACATTTCCCACTCGGAAAATCCTTGACTGTCATTGGTTGGTGGATTAGTTTAGTACGCTATTTTGTGGCACTCCCAAGGACGTTTCTATCTTGTATAAATAAGCTCGATTTGTGTGCTTTTCGACCTCGAATTTCTGGGTACTTTCTAGGATTGATCAAGTCTTCTTGATATAGTTAGCCAAGCTGGGGACAAACGAATCAGAATAGCCTATCGTGTCACTGCATCATTTGTCTTCGCTCCGTTTACCCAGTAAGGTGAACTCGTAATAGTTTCAAGCATATCAACTTTGAAATGGTGTGGATCATCTCGGTGACTGCGAATTAAATCAGCCATAGTTGACATATGAGTATCATATGTGGATTGCCCCGATGTAGCCATTATCAAACATAAGTTTATGGTATAATGTCTGATGTAGGAGTAGGCTGGAAGGAAACTAAGGGTATTCAAATGAAAACATGGCGCAAATCCATGCAGTCACTGACAGCTCGACTGAGTCAACCATGTTGGTAAGTGTAGACAACCTGGTTGGGTGCCACAACACAATAGTAACCAATGGTTAGAGACTTTGGAATGACATGACTCAAAATCGTTTGCGATGCTACAGATGCATCCATTATATTTCTCCTCTCAGATCTTATTCTTTTGAATTCCTCATGGTGTTAAACTCTTCTTGGAAAATATTTGCAAACCATAATCTCCATTAACGCTAATATTTCTACTACATCTACCACTATGGAATTTGAATCAGTCAGAGTCAGTCAGATGCAACGTAGAAATTCGTACATAAGTACATCAGTTCATGTCGCCATACCACATCACCACAGAGATATAATTTTCAATTCAAATCCAATAGTAGAAGAGGTAGTAAACGTATTAGAAGTAATCGGAGAGGTTAGGATGAGAAGATATTATTCAAGAAGTATGATTAAATGAGAAAAGTTTAGAAAGTCAAAACTAGAGTTGTTAATGAATCCAGAAGGTTAGGATTTGAGAGAACACAAAGAATAAATGCACCGGCGCCGTTGCAAATGGTTTTGAGCCATGTGATTCAAGGTCTCTAACCATCGATTAGTATCATCTCGCGGACCCCAACCAGGTAGTCGACAATTACCGACATGGCTAAGTCCATTCGTCAATGACTTCATGGATTTCCGCCATGTTTTGGTTTGGTAGAATTTGAATTGCCAATTCCATCTCTCTCTCTCTCTGCGCTAATGTAGGGGGTATGACAACTTGAACTGATGTATGTAAGCACGTATCAAGTTCCAGGTTGTAGCTGACTAACTTATTGATTGAAATAGATAAGACAGATAATCCTAAAACCATTTTAAAATTGAATTCAAACTCATACGGAGTGAGTTGGTGTCTATCTATCTAAACTCGATAGCTGATGATCAAACAATCATGTTCGAGTCCCAGAAAGTTTGTTATATGATGGTTACACGTACATCCAGTTAGCTAGTTGTAAAGAGACTAATACCGAACACACTCATCTTATAAGCGCACTGTTAATCATAACGATAATAATTTATGTTCGCTTATATTTTTTTTTACCTGAGTTACAACAGCATCATCATTTTGTTTGAGTTTTTTCGTCAATGTCATCAACAATGGTTCATGGCTGCAGCAGTCATCATCACGATACTCATCGACTGGATTATCATCACAATCTGAATTCAAATCAAATTCATCGAGAGACTGATTTTTACTGAATTTCTCTTCAGTAGTAGATAATAATTGTTGTAAAATTTTCAATAGCTCATTTAATTCATGTGGATCTTTGGCAATTAATGTGAATAATTCACTAGATGGTTCCTGTATAAAAAGTAACAATAGTCAATAAAACCAAAATCAAATAATAAGTAGTATATACCTCAATTTGATAAAAGAAAAATAACTCATCTACACACACACATTGAGATCAATGACACTTATTTACTTGCGGAGCATAGGTCGCCGCCGACCAGCATACTCCAACCTACTCTCTCCTGGGCCTTTCTTTATAAATCTGTCCAGCTGTTGTTCATTCCTTCCATGCCGGCTCGCGTTTCTCGGCGTAATGTGTTCCTTCGCCTTCCTCTTTTCCTTTGACCTTGAGGATTCCAGGTGAAGGCCGGTCTTGTAATGCAGTTGGGTGTCTTCCTCAATATATATCTTATCCACTTACACCTCTTCTTCCTGATTTCCTCCTCCACTGGAATCTGGTTTGATCTCTCCCACAGTATGTTGTTGCTGATAGTGTCTGGCAAACGCATCCGAAGTATTTTGCCTAGACAACTGTTAATAAACACATGTATCTTCTGGATTATGCCTTTCGTAGTTCGCAAAGTTTTTGCTCCATACAGTAGAACTGTCTTGACATTTGTATTTTAAAGTGTGACTTCAGTGTTGATTGATAGTTCTTTTAAGTTCAAAATGTTCTTCAATTGTAGAGATCCTTGCCTTGCTTTGCTAATCGAAGTTCATCAATTATGCTACCCAGATATGTAAAGGTTACTACATCTTCCAAATGGGAATCAATGAATCAGGATTGAAATGTTCCAGTTAAATTCTAGTTTACATACAGAACAATAGGCGGTTTGTTTGAATCATCTAGGCAAATTGTTGTTTCCCATGTTACGTGTTTCAGTTGTCTATTACTTACTTACTTACACCTGTTACCCCCAATGGAGCACAAGCCGCCCACCAGTTTTCTCCAACAAACTCTGTCCTGGGCTTCCCTAACCAGTTCTGTACAATGTTTGTTCATTCTTCTCATATCTTTCTCTATTTCTCGGCGTAATGTGTTCCTAGGCCTTCCTCTTTTCCTTTCACCTAGAGGGTTCCATGTGAGGGCTTGTCTTGTGACGCAGTTGTTGTTTGGTTTATTTTTTCTGGTTACCGTTTTTTGGTGGGAAGGGGTCGCCAACCCCATGTCCAACCCCTCCTCCTTTATCCGGGCTTGGGACCAGCAGTAGCCCCGAAGGTTCTACTGGTTGAGATTCAGTTGTCTATTAATCGCATAATTTGTTCAGTCGCGTGCATAAACCGATAGTTTCACATGCTACAAGAAATTAGAATCCAAGATACGTCATGGTGGCTGACAATATGCATTGAAAAGATGAAGTTGTTGAAATATTCCGCGTTGAGAATTCTACATTGTACCAAGGATTATTAGATAAAACGTTTATTATGATGAGTATATAAGAGAACGAAGTGTTATTTTTTCCTTCCAGATTTAAAAATGAATAAAGAGTATCTTAACTCCACCAGGAGACGACCTTCGAGGACAAAACTGTAGATCCCAAGCCCGAACAAAGAAGGAAAGAGTTAAGCATGAGGTTAGCAATCCCATCCTGTAGAAATTCAAAATGCTAGAAAAAGAAATGTTAACCAGAAAAGTAATTCACTGGTCGGCAACCTACACTCCATTAGGGATGACAGGTAAAAGTTACCGTATTTCAAGATGCCTCTATCACTAAGATCTCAATCAGAGAGTTGTGAAAGACTGTGCAGCTTTCTTTCATACGCTGACCAACTCTCTTCTCTTGTTCCAACCAATATTGGCAAATAATGCACAATGTGAGATTCGCTGTGACAACACTAAACAACACATATTTAAAGCCGCTAGTATTAGAGAATGGTTTCGACTCATAGACCTTTGGGCTATGGACCCAGTATGCTTCCATTGCACTTGCAAATTCACGGAATTCATCATATAAAGTAAGTATTATGAATTAAACAATGGTTGCTTTCAATAGTTATGAAATGAATCATTTTAATAATAAGAAACTTATAATCATACTGTATGTGTTACTTACAGTTAAAAGATTTTCATCAACTTTAGTTACACTTTCATCAGAAATTTCTTCACATTTTTTATTAGAATTGGTCAATTGTTCATTAGAAATTTTTTGTTCATTAGATTGTTGAATTATCTCGTCAGTAGTGACATGTTTTGGTTCTTCGACTAACTGAAAATTAATTACAAAGACGAAAAATACATAAAAACATTTTTGATTCATCAAGAAAACAGTTCGATTTAATCATTCTAATGTAAAAGAAAGGCAGACAAGTTAGAGATTGAACTAAAAATAACATGAGGATACCAACTTATTTCTTTAAAAATAATATGGTTGGTATAAACGGATACCTAAATATTTATGCGCTAGTCAATACAATGAAGCTAGGGAGGGTTCCTGATAAGTTCGTCACTCAGTATGCTTGAGGCTATTACGAGTTTACCTTAGTCGATAAACGCGAACGAGACAATAAACCAGCGTCCAGGTAGGCTACCTTGAATCCGAGGCTGAAGTGAAAAGGCTTTGTAAGCGTAGAAAGTATATTCTACAAACACCCAGCAATCACAGTACAATCAAGCATACAACTCTCGTTTATTTATGCAACATAGAAACGTCCTTGAGACAGTTAAGAAAATAGTACACTAAAATACACAGCAGCCAATCACAGCCATGGATTGTCGTGGTGGGAATTGAAATCTGAAGGTCAACTGATCAGCCCATGCTGGCAAACGTGAAAATCAAAATAAGGCATTATCAAGCGAATTTCGGGGATCTAACATCCCCAACAGTTCCCAAACCGAAATAGGTGGATTTTTTTACGACCGGCGACTATTCGATCATTCGACCCACAGGTATAATCCAAAAAGCGATTGAGCAACTTTAAGAGATGCGGTAGCCAGTGGTAGCCAATGGCTAGTAAAATAGACTTACATACGATTTGTTCTATCACGACCGTAGAGCCCATGTTCACTAGTGGTCAAGAAACAAAGGGTAGATTCTTCGTACCTGTTAACCTGGTTAAAGCGCTGGATATCTGCTTTTCATCCTCTCAACTTTGTAAATAAAGCTTGTACCATGAGAAGACAATGAGTAGGACTAAGCTGACACAGTGGCTATTCGCATGTGACCATAACGAGAGCACTTGATCGCATTGTGATGATCATATTAGATAGGTAGGTTGGCTAAAGAGTATCTAGAATAAATGCCTCACATTAAGATAAACGATTAAAATTTTACTGCCAAATGTATTGGGTTGTAACGACAACAAGGTATTTCCTTCAAGAAACCAACAACTCCAAGGATTCTGCATTGCAGCAACAAAAGGTCAACCGTAAAAATATCATACATCACCTAACGTTGTAGAAAAAACCTCTGGATTGCAAACTAACATATCAAGGGCTATTAAAACAGGCTATAGATGGCCAACTTCAAGAAACATATCATCCACGGCGTTGGAAGTAAAGCACTTGGATAGACATGACCATTACTAACCGAAGTTTTGTTTACAGATACATTAAGGACAAGCATCCTTGCACGACATGTGAAAGTGAGGAAACGAAACCTGACAACAGATATTGAGATCACCAGTTCAGTCTATTCAACCACGTAACACAAGTACAAGTTAATGACATTTTTCGCAACAGCAAACGATACTACTTTGAGTAGTATATTACAAAACTAATCAATTCATTCATCTAATCAGCCAGTATTTTAAGGGAGAAATATATAAGATAAAGCTAGTTAAAACTAACTATAATAAACAGAAAAAAAACTCTATGAGCAGCATTGTTTTTCATCTTACCGGTGAAGAGGTTTCATTAGAATTGACAGAACAATCAACAGACGGATTCTTAGACAATACACTTAATCTTGTAGATCTACGTATTTGTGCGGACGATTCGTCAACAGACTTATCATGTGAAACAGTCTTTGTATTTTGTTTTGTAGTTTCAACTATTCGACTGTTATTATCATCATCATCAGATTCATAACGACTGACAGGTGATGAATGAATGTCATTTAGATTTTGATCAGCTGAATGTGACTCCATATCATCAGCATCATCAACATCGCCATCCCCGTCGCCCTCGCCATCATCATCATCGTCGTCATCATCACCATCATCGTCACCGTCACCACTGGCATTGACAGCATTTTTTTTATTTCGACGAGAATTGTACTTTGAACAAAAACGTAAACCTCCAACAGCTGAAAAATAAAACGGGAATATTTCACAAGACGTAACAGCATTTTGACAGATCTAACTATGAGATTGAGTAATACAAGTTTTAATGCTATATAGGAGTCATTTGTTACCTTGATATAATAGGAACACCCCAACTCTCGTGTTTTTTCCGGGCTATGGGCCGGCAATAATCCTACAATGGCTCTAGACAGAGGTATGTAGAACGCATATCGCAGGTTATGAGTATTCAATTAAAGATGTCTTCGAAGACTTGTTCATGTATCCTGGGACAACCGAGTAAGCAATGCTGTCGTTAGAAAACGAGTACTTGGTATGCCCGACCATAGACCGCCTCGAAAAGCTATGTTTTATGGTGTAGGAATAGGCTTGAAGAAAGCTAGGGGCGGCCACACCAAAACATGGCACAAATTCATGAAGTCACTGACAACTCGACTACTCTAGCCATGTTGGTAAGTGTATACTACCTAGTTAGAGACCTTAAAAGGCATGGTTTAAAACCGCTTGCAATGGCACAAATGCATTAATTGTGTTCTCTCAAATTCTTCTCTTCTGAATTATCCATCACCTTAATTTTTATCTATTTAGATTTATTTCACTAGATTCTACTTCTCGAATAATATCTTCGAACCCCAATCTTCAAGGTCACATGAGAATAGGAAGACTAAAGTACACCGAGAATCGGAGGCAGACATGAAAAGAATGAATAGCCAATCGGGTAGAATGATACGCCTGCAAGTAAACACGTCATTTTGACATGCTTGAACTATTACGAGTTTACCTTAATCGGAAAACAAGAGCGAGGATCCGGCGACACGACAGGCTACTCAAATCCGATTAGCCTAACCACCATATTGAGTAAAAGGAGACAAGACTTGATATGAAATAGAACCTGTATGCCACAAGCATCAAGAAAGTACGAGGTCCGAGTGGAGAATAGAATCAGGTACCCGGACTACGGATCCGGGACCGGTTCCTGGTCATAAAACGTTACATATGATGCGTATCCATACATTTTGGTCGAATAGAAAACAGCATCGAATTCTGTGACATTGACAGTTAAAACGACCAATAGGAAGCAACACTTGAAGTGACATGGATAGTCATGACAACCAATAAGAAATAACATTGGAGCACGTGACACTGATATCTAGGACGACCATAAAATTGACCAGTAGGAATTAACCAATAGGAATCGACCAATAATTCTCTCAGGATACTGAATGAAGAATATACTAACAGAACTGGAAAGTGGAAATTGCATGATATAGTAGATTAGAGAAAGCTGACCAGTGGCCTATACTCCATTTGGGGATTTTACAGGCGTAACTAAGTAAGCAATCAAGTAATTTACCAGTTAGAAAAAAAAGGTACAAAAAATGGAAGAATTTTAAAATAAAACTTTACACTTACCCGTCCGACTTAATTGTAACGATAAAAATTGACGTGTTGGCCCATTGAATGTTGCATACGGTGATGGAGTTAAACAATGATCCGTTTTTCTAATCTCTGAAATAATTTGATTGTCGATAGTTTGAAAATTAGCAAAAGGTACAACATTCTCTTCAATACATTGATTGGTACCATTCATTATCATATTGTCATTAGTGTCCTTATTATTATTATTATTATGTGAAGAATGATTACGTCTTCTATTAGTTGGTGTGTTTGTTCTAGTTGTGTTGGAACTATTATTATTATTATTATTATTATTATTATTATTATTATTATTATTATTATTATTATTACTGGTAACAGCATCCACAGTTTTTGATTGATTTGAAATTCGTTCAGATAAACGTCTCTTTTTCATTTTGTAGGATTCTTCAAACTCTTGATTATCATGATTAGATGAAATCTTTGGAGAGGCCACAGTAGTAGTAGTAGTAGTAGTAGTCGCAGGAGTAGAATGAACATGTTCAACAATACCACACCATCTACGATAAACATCACGTGCTAATGATGGATGCAACCAATTAGGTAAACGTTGAACTGAACCAGGAATCAATAAACCATTCTCCATGATCAGCGTATTATGTTTATTTAATTCTTCATAGAGTTGAACTGTTTGTTTTGATTTAGTACAATTACGTTTACGTTTATGATGATTTGTAGTAGTGGTAGGAGAAGCAGTAGTTTCATCTTTGAATTTGGCAAAATCTTTCAGTATTTCTATTTTACTAGTTTCGAAATGATGATCCATAGTGGTTGTTTTCAATGGTTTATCATTAAACTTATGACAATTATTCACTGGTGAACATTTTTTCACATAAGCAATTCGATAAATTCTCAGTGAAGTTGATGCATCCAGCCCGATAGAATTTGGTAAATGTAAATATGTGTATTTAGAAAAGTAATCAGTACCTAAATAGACAGGATTTGATGCTTCCCAATCAGCGGATTTATCTAATGAGATACGAAGATTTTCAAATGTTCGCTGGCAGAAAAAATAAAAAATAATTGATTTGATGAAGAAAGAAAGTGTGTGTCAGTCAGGCAATTTATCAAAAGTATAATTTTTAAAATCAAAAGAAAAAAATTTTCAACCGCAAACCTCGATGTCAGTCAGCAGCAACGTACAACTTTGTACGTACATACATACATCTGTTTAAGTTACCATACCACATCAGCAAACGGAAATGAAATTTTCAATTTGAGTTATGTAGATTAGTATTTTTACACTTTTGAAATCATCAATCAATCATTGTTAGACCACCATTTCAAACCTGGAAGCACTGTACAGCCCTTTCGACCGGGACCTTCGGTATTGTGCGTTCATACCTAACCATTGGACCACTGGGTCGGCATCCAACGGTGTTAGTCTCCATAACTCTAATCGAAAAAATTGTAAAATGTGCTCACTAGTGACTAGCTTCGTGAGGAAATTCTCGGAGTTCTAGTGAGAAGACGTGACCAGTGGAGTTCAAACCTGTCGGGTGTAGGCAGTAACTACCGAAGGAAAATGGGTGAGATCGCGCGAAACCCGTTGATCAATCAGAGTAAGACATTAACACAGTTGGATGCCGGCCCAGTGGTCCGATGGTAAGTCGTTCGCATACAATGCCGAAGGTGTCGGGTTGGAATCGTGCGAGGAGCAGGAGTCGTGGATGCGCACTAATGATGAGTCCCATACCAGGACGAAACGGCCGTACAGTGCTTCCAGGTTTCTAATGATGATCTAACAATGGTTGATCGATGATTTCATATGTGGAAATGAAATTGTCAATTCAAATTCCAAAGTAATAGAGGTAGTAGAAGTATTACTGGTAATCGAAAAGATTAAGGATCGAAGGTATGGTTCGAGAATTAGATGCCAGTGCAACAAATTCGAAAAGGAAATAAACGGCCACAAACATTTCAGAAACACTGAATATGAGAGAAGACAAAGAACGAATGTGCCAGCACCGTTGCAAACGATTTTGAATCATGTCATTGAAAAGTCTCTAATCATCAGTTACTGTTGTGTTGCGGAACCCAACCAGATTGTCTACACTTAAAAACATGGCGGCTCAGTCAGTGACTTTATGGATTTGTGCCATGTTTTGATCTGGTCGCCCCTAACAAACTTAATGTATACATAGAGTTACACACAGTGTTTACAGTTACGCCTGCAAATTGAAAGAATCATTACAAAACATCTAGTCCAATAAGCAATGATCGATTAAATATCGTTCATTGATATTTAAGACTTCATTTCGTCAGTCAGTTAGTTAGACTTTCATGAAATATAATCCATGTTAGGCGGACATTTCAATTGTGTCTAGTAATGGAGAAACTGAAACACACATTTCATCGTGTGTCAACTGGATTGTAACTGCGCCGTAGATTTAATCTTTACAGTAACATATGAACTCACTACCTTTCACTTCAAACAATAACTATTAGGTTAGGATAAAAGCTGTTTCCTAAATAACTAATAACATTAGTGGTAATTGGTTGAAAGATTTGTCATAGTTAAAAAAAAAATATGAGAAGCATTAGTCTAGTGGTTACAGAAAACAGCTTTCACAATAGAAAAGTTACAGCTTCAAGTCCTGCTTTATCTACACGCACGTCTATACAGCTGAATGATCGATATTATACATCAGAAACAGAGCGCAACTTCGAACCCACTTCGTAAACATGTACAGTGAATCAAACTAATTTGAACTAAACCTCTATCTGGAGCCTTTCTACAAGTACTTTCAGCTCCAGGCGCCGAAAAAGGTATAAGGTTACATATGGTATTAGTAACTCTATAGGAAAAAAAAGAACTTTGACTAAAATAGTTAACCCGAAAAAAAACAAGTTTTAATCACAACTACTACGTAATATTCTCTTTTCGATCTGGACGTGGGTGTATAGACCACATTTTCACTCTACGACAGGTTCTGGAACACAGACACACCTTCAGGTGTCCGACAGTAGCTGTTTTCCTGGACCTTAAGGCGGCATTTGACTCTGTTGATCGTGATGTGCTATGACAGTGTCTGTCATTGAAAGGTGTATCAGAGAAGTACATTAACCTTATACAAGATCTATACTCGAAAACCACTGGTTGGGTGAGAACCTATGGCGAACTGTCATCGGAATTCTTTACTTCAAGTGGTGTCCGTCAGGGATGTCCACTTTTCCCATTCTCGTTCAAGTTTGTCGTAGACATGCTGCTAGATATAACATTATCTGCGTCCGACTTTTCAGGAGTCGATCTTCCACCAGGAGGATCTCTTATTGTCCTAGAATATGCCGATGACATAGTTTTATTCGGTGAAGACGCTGACAAAATGCAGTCTCCCGACTACCCTGAGCAACAATGCAAGCATGTTCGGGATGCGGTTTTCCCCCTCGAAATGCAAGATAATGCATCAAGATTGGGTTTCATCGGTACCTGAACAAGTGATAGGGAGTGAAGTAGTCTAACGTTGTAAATAACTAACGTAATATTCTCTGTTGTACACTTCAAAACTCTGTTATAATAACACAAAATACTCAAAATAAAAGTTCACACTTTCAACTCTCTAAATCGAATCATCGATAATTTAAACAAATAACTTGCTATAAATGTTTTTTATCGATTAAAAAACCACCTCAATGTTGTTATAGGTTAAGCAACATTCACAAAACACGAATAAATTTTTTTTTAAATAATCAATATTAGTAGAAGTGGATAGTGGGACCTAAAATAGGTATTTTGTCCTGTTTGGGACTTGTTAGCTGCATCTTGTACCTGCATCTCAGAGTTCACTCCACGACTTGGAACCAGTACTGTTAGACATCACGCTACCATCTTACCATCTTCTTCAGTCGGTAACTGCTTCACAATTGATACAGTTGAATTCCACATGATCATGGCTTCTCACTAGATCCTCAGAAATTGTATCTTGAATCTGATCACTAGTGAGTACATGTCAATTGCCAGTAAGCCATTAAAGAGATTATAGAATTTTATTGATATCATAAACCGGTGAAAGATTTGTAAACCTATGTGCCTTCAACAAACTGGTCATCGGTGGCAAAATATTCCGGCACAAATGCATTCACAAAGCCACATGGATTTCACCGGACCACACTACTCAAAACCAAATCGACCATATCTGTATCAACAAAAATTTCAGAAGGACCATGGAGGATGTGAGAACCAGGAGAGGAGGTGATTTAGCCTCAGATCACCATTTGCTAATCGCCAAAAAGAAACTGAAACTAAAGAAGCACTGGACAACGGGACAGACAACATCACACAAGTTTAATACGGCCTTTCTTCGGGATACTGTAAAGCTCAACGAATTCAGGATAGCCCTCACCAATAGGTTCCAGGCCTTTCAGGATCTACTCGATGGAGAGGACACAACATTGGAGAACAATTGGAAAGGGATTAAGGAGGCAATAACTTCAACATGTCGTGAAGTTCTGGGTCACAAGAAGTATCATCATAAGGAATGGATCTCTGATGGTACTCTTTCAAAAATTGAAGAAAGGAGGAACAAGAGGGCAGCAATCAATGTCAGTCGAACAAGAGCAGAGAAAGTTACCGCACAAGCTGCATACACAGAAGCAAACACGGAAGTGAAGAAGAGCACCTTCGGGTCTACTGCCGGTCCAAAGCCCGGGTAAAGGAGGAGGGTTGGACATGGGGTTGGAGACCCCATTCCGTCAAAAGCTAACTTGCCAAAAAAACGCTAACCACAAAAACTAATTCAAAACCGATCTAAGCACATATTTAATTAGATGAGAACAATACAATCCTTTCACACTAAGACTATTGTTTATAGATCGATTCAATATTCAATGCATATTCAATGCATATTTATACATATTTCAACGTTCAATATAAACATATATTGTTGTTCAAACAACTAACTAAATAACTCTAATTCTTACCATTGTTGATTCACATAAAGCACAAATAATCAGAACTTGTTGATATAATGATAATTCATGAAAATGTTTATTTGTTAATGGATTCAATTGATAACCGCATACGTCGAAAAATATTTTGGATAAACCTAAACGACGTGTTGCCTATGAAAAAAATAATAGGAAATAACATAAAACAGTTGAACATATTTAATAATAATTCATTGGTGAAATTTCATTTTAAAGGAAATGTGGAACAGGGACAATAAAAGACACATGATACTAACCGATTGATGGCCAGTCAGAGTTTAAGATATTCGTAGGTGTCTACGAAGCATTGTTCGTGTATCCTGTGAACCATCGAGTAAGCAATGCTATTGCTAGGAAACGGGTGGTAGGTAAGAATGGCAGATCAATAGATGAAGTAGTGAAACTGCATCAGTTGAGGTGGTTGGGACATGTGTTACGAATGCGCAACCACCGACTGCCTCGTCGAGCTATGTTTAGTGGTGTAGGAATAGGTTGGAAGAAAGTTAGGGGTGGCCAGACCAAAACATGGCACAAATCCATGAAGTCATTGACAAGTAAACTGAGTCATGTTGGTAGATGTAGACTACGTGGTTGGGGTCCGCGAGATGATAATAATCGATGGTTCGAGACCCTGGATGACATGGCTCAAGACCGTTTTCAATGGCGTAGGTGCATTCATTCTTTGTATTCTCTCAAATCCTAATCTTCTGAATTCCTCATTATCTCTATTATTATTATTCTTATTGAATCATATCTTCTAATCCTAATCTCTCCAATTACTGCTAAAACTTTTACTACGTCTAATACTATGGCATTTAAAGTGAAAATTACATCTCTGTGCTAATGTGGTACGGTAACTTGAACTGATGTATGTACGTACGAAGTGCTACGTGTTGTTGTTGATTGATTGAATTGAACTGATTTAATCATGCTGTAATGTGTGCACCGAGATAACTAAGTGTAACGGGGATAATATTGTCATTCTTTAGTAGCCTGTGTAGAAGAAAATTGGTTATTGTAGATCGAGGCATAAGCTGCAAATAGAGATGACCAAGGTGAATGATTCATTGAAGTTGATTGCTTAAGATCCGTGGTATGGATAACTGTTTCTCGCAGTTTTTTCTCTGTGCTTGTAAAAATTGGCCTTTCGTAGGTGAGGATGCTAGGCGACTCTGTGTTTGATCAAAGGGTTGCTGACACTCAATCAGCGGCAGTCTTATGTGTGTAATGCAGAGGTCTGAAAACGTGGCTCCAGTATCATTTGTATTACTCAAGTTCGAAAAGTCTTTCTGCAGAAAACAGAATCACACCACTGTTACTTAAATCTATCAGAACTGTTTCCAAAACGTTATCGATGGCAAAGTTGAAGAGGAATAGTGAGATTGGATAACCCTGACCAACCCCCCTGCTTGGATGAAATAATAAAGAGAGGTTGTTGTATGTCTTCATTCTCCTTGAGGTGTTTTTACATAAAGCTTTCAAGATGTCAGTAAACTTCTCAGGCATATCCTTCTTCAACAGAACACCCCATAAAACAATCCTGTTAAACGAATCAAAGGCGGCCCTAATGTCAAGAAGCACAGCTACTGTTGATCTGCAATAAGTATCATGGTGTTCTAACATTCTGTGGAGAGCGAAGATATGATTAATACATCCTCGGCTGAAATGAAAACCAATCTGCTCCTTGCGAGTCCATCTATCAAAGGCTTTTATTAACAATCACTGAAGGATGATGGAAACTAATATTTCGGACGCAATACGAAAATTTCTTCAAGCTAATATATAGCTGGAATACATATATTCAACAAGATAGGTAAGACCAATCACTATGTTATATAAAAAGCCTGAAATCTAGCACTCGCGATAAGTCAGCTAAGGTCAGATAAGCTTAAGTGGGACAACTAGAGACGGTTCGAATTTGTAAAGGAGTAGAACCTTCTTAGAGGTTAAATATGCTTTGATTAACGATTTCCTTCATCTATACAACACGAGAAGTTAATTAGAAATCGATCCAATCGACCGATAGCATTTAGAAAGCAATACAAATTGAGGAGAAATACACTAGCTCACATACGTTTGAATTTGTTCACGCTTCATTTGGTTAGGCCTTTTCGTCAACTTTTTTAACAAATAACGTCATTCGAATAGCAACAACTTGTTTATGCCATTGTACTTTCATTGTAGTCACGTTCGTATGAGTAGGTATGCTCTAACATAGGTTACAGTCTGCACATATTCATTCTACTAACTTTAATGTTAGCAGCTTAAATAATTCGGTGACTAATTCATTTTCCGATAAATATGTGTACATTTTAATTATATCCAGTCGCTCTTTGGCATTACCATGCTGTTTCGTTTTCGTTTCGTACGCTTGTAGTTTTGTGATCGGTGTGGTACGATAGTAAACGTTATCAACTCTTCGTATTTATCTTCTGAATTGTGCACACCGTTGGATGTTGTTATTTGCTAACAGTTATCAGAACGATCAGTATATGAATTGTATCAAATATCCACCGAGACAAGGAGATAACAGTCATTTATAGAATCCCGAGGAAAAAATTTAAACACGCCTCGGTCAGTACGTTGCTTCCAAGTCATGAGGAAGCGCTCTACATGAAATTACGAATCGTTCCAACACTTAGTGACTAGAACGGTATATTGTAGGTCAGAGCTAATGTTTCCATAAATTCAGTGTAAAGAAAGCGACCAACGTAACTAGCTGTCCAACAAAAAACTTATGATTAGGAAATCGCCTGGAGCCCTCTTCTACGGTTACTGCCAGTCCCAAGTCCGGATAAACAAGGAGGAGGGTTGGGCATGGGGCTTAGTGACCCCGTCCCGTAGGAATCCAACTGGCTGAAAAAACGCTAATCATACAAATAACATTCGCTGGTCAGCGGCCTATGCCTTATAAGGGGTAGTAACAGGCGCAAATAGGTGAGCAAGTAGTACAAAACGATTATTTGTTGTGAGTTTCAAATCAAATCAACGTAAAATGTGTATGAACAACATAGCATAGTTTCGAGACAACTTACCCATTCCACAACACCTTTACCTTTTTCCCAAAATAAACGATACCATGAATCAACACGACTAGCCAATCGACGTTCCCATATATTATAATCAATCATAGGTAAGGTAGATGTATTCGACAACAGATTACGTGATCGTCTTGTACTAGAATTCATACCATCGAAGCTGGAATCCGCTCCGACATTCAAATTCGTCGCAGTAAGATTGATTCCATTATTAGTATTACCACTACAACTACTGTTATTATTAGTGTTATTATTGTTTAAAACAGCAACAATTTGATTTCTTTCTTTCGGTGTCGCTAACAAATTCGACATACAAACATTGAATACTAAACTAGCTTGTGGCGCTGAACATAAACCAATTTCTAAATCGAATAATGATAAATTACGTGAATGATTTATATGACTACTACTGATCAATGGATTAGTCAGTAAATTTGGATTTGTATTATTATTATTTGTATATATGGTTAAACAATCACTTATGCCCAAGAATGGATCAGCTAACCAAAGGAATTGATAAGCTTCTAAGAACTGTAGGAGAGAGAAAAAATTAAATAAATATACAAAGTATAAAAAGTATGTATAATCAATACAGTAGGTTGTATTATAATTCAGTTAGAGTTATTGTCTTTTAATAAGTCCTGGAACACAGACACACATTAAGGCGACCGACAATAGTTGTATTCCTGGACCTAAAAGCGACAATTGACTCAGTGGATCGTGAGGTTCTGTGGCAGTGTCTATCATTGAAAGGTGTACCAAAGAAGTACATTAACCTTATACAAGCTCTCTACTCGAACACTACTGGTCGAGTGAGAGCTTATGGTGAACTGTCAACGGAATTCTTTACTTCAGGTGGTGTCCGTCAGGGCTGTCCACTCTCTCCATTCTTGTTCAATTTTGTCATACACATGCTACTAGATACAACGTCATCCCCGTCTGACTTTTCAGGAGTAGACCTTTTACCAGGAGGCTCGCTTATTGACTTAGAATATGCCGATGACATAGTCCTACTTGGTGAAGACGCTGACAAAATGCAGAGTCTACTGACCAAAACATGGCACAAATCCATGAAGTCAGTGACAAGTGGACTGAGTCATGTTGGTAGATGTAGACTACCTGGTTGGGGTTCGCGAGACGAAAGTCACCAATGGTTAGAGACCTTGAACGACATGGCTCAAGTGCATCCATTTGTTGTGCTCTCTCAAATCCTAATCTGGATTCGTCAGCACCTCTACCTTTGTCTTTCTAACCTTATCTCACTGAATTATACTTCTTGAATAATATCTTCTAATTCTAAACTCTCCGATTACTGTTAATACCTTTACTAGCTCTACTACTATTGGATTTGAATTGGAAGTTGCGTCTCCGTGCTAATGTGGTATGGCAACATGAACTGATGTACTTACGTACGAAATTCTACGTCGCATCTGACTGACTGACCAATGGTTAGAGTTTTTGAATGATATGACTTAAAAATCATTTTCAATGACACAGGTGCATCCATTTCCGTTGTCTTCTCTGAAATTCTAACCTTCTGAATTGCACATCACCTCTGTCTTTCTCTTTTTAAATTTATTTCACTGAGTGATACTTCTCGAATGATATATTCGATCACTAACTAGTGTTTTTTGTGACCGTTAATATTTCTACTATATCTACCATTATGAGATTCAATCTATGTGTGCTAATGTGAAATGACGACTTGAACTGATGTACGTGTGAAGTTATATGTTGTAGCTGAGTGACTCACTGAATACTCCCACCTCAGTGTAGATGGTGAATTAACAAATTTACATCAAGTCTTATGATGATTCTATATTATTTCAAACATAATGAAATGGAGATGAGTGCTTTTACACACTGAAACCATCAAGACGTGACCAATGGAGTTCAACCCTGTCGGGTGTAGGCAGTAACTACCAAATACAAATGGGTGAGGTCGCGCAAAATACCTAGATTGATCAGAATTAGACATTAACACCGTTGGCTCCTGGCCTACAAGTTAGGCAATGGCACTCATGACCAAAGGTCCTTAGTTTGAATCCTGCGAGGTGCAAGAGTCGTGAACGTGCATTACCAAAGAGTCCCATGCCAGGACAAAACGGCCATCCAGTGCTTCCAGGTTACTAATGGTGGTTTAACAATGATCAATTGATTGATTGATTTCAATGTGTTTCATAAAATCAAAATAAAGTGGACTCACTTCTGGTATATTCTGAAGAGTTTCTTGTAATTTTGGTCCATCTCTTTCAAGCCACCATTGATTCCATGAATCTAACAATTCTTCTTCATGTCGTCTACGTTCCCATAAATTTAATCTTGATACAATTAATGCAATATTTTCATCAATCGTCAGATTATTAATAGTAGTATGATTAGTAGTATTATTAGTAGTAGTATTAATACTAGTAGCAGTAGTTAATGATTGTTGATCAGATGACAGGGGATGATGATTGAAATCGATACTGTTTGATATTAATGATGCTGTTATACCACTTGTAGCAGTACCAGGATGTGTCACATGTTCTAATTCTTCCATGATAGCACGCATTGGAGTTAGCTGACGTGAATCACCTGAGAGGAATAAACGTCCAGAACTACGACGACGAGTGACACCTTTCAGCAACAAGAACAAAGAAGTTTGTTATGTGATTTTTATTCGTAAAATACTCAATCTAAGCACCCATTTTATATGAACAACTTTTGATAGTTCTATGAAATCTAGGGACAGAATGAATTGTTCAGTTCATAATAGTTGCTCACTCTCTATTACAGTTGCTACATTGATGTGATGGTCGGGTTTGTCAATCGTGATGACGCAACCAAACTTCACTGATTGGTACACTTGCTACTCGAATCTCAAACATACTACTTTCGTATAGCGAGGTTATTTACGAAATGAAGAGAATGAAAATCGAATTGGCGGGTACAGAGGATCCATCTAGGCGAATTGGAAAATCCTGACTTCAAACCGACGGTGTACATAGGTTCTATGATGCTGAAGAAACAGTTGTCACCTTTCGACGCTACTCTACTGTCTTGTAGATCAGAACTGTAAGTCGAAGGCTTGGGGCGTGGCCTCCTAAGAAATTAACTTGTTTCAGTTTGGGCAGTTAAGAAGTACCCAAGGTCACTCACATAGACAATAGTTAGTGCGGTGCATAAATATTTATGTGCCTCTTTGTATTAATAACTGATGACTCCCAAACAAGCTTTACTGGTCGGAACACTTGTTTTCCGAGGTTTTAACCTACCAGGCTAGTCGTCTGGATACTTATAGACCGAAATCGGTAGATTTCAGATTTGGAGTTGTAGTACCAACTGTGCTGTGAAATATGATAGTAGCAAGTTATACCTCCATGGATAAGTAGAATTAATAGGAATATCTAGCTTCCTAAAACAGAAAAAGGTCGACCCTAACAGAGAAGCACATCTCACAACTCGACTAATGGATCTCCGATGCCCGTGGTAAAACCTTAAACGCGTGAAGCTAATACATCAAACATTATTTAAAAAGAAATTCATATAATCGGTATTAGGCAGTTATCCACTCGGTATTGCAAAAGAATCATCCATCTGTTGTATAGATAACCGGGAATGGACAATGGCCCGACCGAAGCTGCTACCTTGACGTGGCGGTCAGGCTTGCCTATCGTGATAACCCAACCGAGCTATACTGACTGGAACATATGTTCCGGTAGGCCCTACCATACCAGGCTGGTCGATTGGAGAACGATGAGACTAAAAGCAGCTACCCAAGGTCTGAGGGTGAAGTCTTACTGCTGACTGTAGAGGGGTGTAACAGCAGTAAGGTGTTTCCCTCGGACAACCAGCATCTGCAGCGATGCTGCCTTCTCACAAGGAAGGAAGGGTTACAAAATTTCGACCCTAAAAATGTCACACCTCACCCTACCTCACGGATTTCTGTCTCTGGCATAAGGGTGCCCACTAAGAGCTTTCAGGAGTGGACCTACTACTCAAAAAACCCTTCATAAAAACGCCATGCGTGACCGGCCTCAAGCAGTTGTCCCTTGGACTCTGCGGTCACGCTCCCAGGTCTCCAAGACCAACAATAATCTATCTTCCTTTTCAGGTCCTTCAAGAAACAACCTTCCACGGTGTGGGGAGCCGGGAAGTGATAGCCGCCCTCATACCCGCAACAGCACACGAGACCATATTGACTGACTGACTGAATGGACAATGGCATAAATATTACTAACAGAAACGGAGATCATTATTTCAGATTAAGCGTAAAAACTGGGCACAAACATACTTCAAATCATGTTGGTAAACTTTACATCAAAACAGCGAGATTGAGAGAGAGAGAGGGCGAGACGAAGTTAGCATGAAAAGCAAAAGAGTGAAACTCCAAACACAAGACATACGGGTTGAAAGAATCCAAAACGTCAGCGGTCATAGGATGCATAAAATCTAGATGATAATATATTATTAATACAGCTAGCTGCCTTAATAATAAGGCTGATTTTTAATTATATCGATTAATATCCCCAATTGGTCACTGATCAAAATTATTGTACAAGCTATGCCAACCTCAAAAAGAGAAATCAGTAAGAAGCGTCATAAGGTAAGCCCTCACTTGGAATGCTCACGACTACAGAAGAAGAGCAAGACCAAATAAAACACATTACACCGAGAATGGGAAGCGAACATGAAAAGAATGAATAATCAATCGGGTAGAACTGGGAAAAGGAGAGGTCCAAGACAGAGCAGGTTGGAGAATGCTAGTTAGCCGGGTGCAATTAACTCTGATACTACCTGAAGAATTGTCATCAATCACAAAGTAACAATCGCAAATAAATGATGAATGAGCACACATGCATGAAGTCAATGTGTCTGGGTGTGAGTGCGTGTGTGTGCACTGCTTACCACAATCCAGTAGCTCATCTTCTGCAGTACCAAACCCAAGTGTTGATTGTATCGACGCTTTAGCTCTAATTTCACTAAAATCAAAAAGAGAGAGGGAAATTTATCAAAATTCAGAACAAAAAAGAAAATCTGTACTTATTTCTAGGTAATTATGAGATTGCATACACAGATACAGATATGACAATGGGAGGAATTTGTGCTGTAAAAGTGTATATTTTGACAAGGGAATAATAGTTGCACCATTTTGAATGTTGACTCCAAGTTTAAGTAATGAACATTGAACAGGATTGAAACTAGTGAACATTGAACTATTGGCTTATCTAATTATTTATTTAAATACAATTATAGGTACAAAGAGGGCATCTGAATGTTTATCCACCACCCTGATTATTCAATTTGTGAGTCAGCTGGGAGAGAGTACAACTGCCCAAACCAAAAGAGTTTAATTTCTGAGAAGGCCACTCGCCAAGCCTTCAGATAGTTTGTCTAATCTACAAGACAGTGAAGTAACACCAAAGAGTGCAGTTCCAGGGTGGCTGGTGACCAACAATAGCTTTGCACGACATTTGTTTATTCAGGATCGTGGAGTCCGCATGTACTATTGTGGTGCTGTGGTGCGAACTACTTATAAGTAGTATATAACGTGAGTGTCAACGTAAAGTCTGGTAGCATAATATGGGGGGAAGATCAAGAAAGGAAGAGTTAGAAAACAATGGAATTTGTATGAAACGCATGAATAGTGACAATGGATTGATGTTTGGCAACAGGAACAGTCCAGTTCCATAGGATGAACTGATCTTTTGCAAATGAACGATTTACGATATGGTTTTCCGATTTTACTGAGTAACTCTGTAATTTTCGTTAAATACAATTCGGTTGCCCCACCTGTGTTCTCATTCACTACATTTGGTGTCGCTGCCTACGCAAAGGATGAAGATTCCATGGCCGAAGGAGTTTGAGGACGGGGATGTGCGGAGCTTCTTGAAGGAGTTTGAGGCCGTGGCGGAGCTGGTGGGGGTGAAGGAACCGAAGGCGAAGCTGGTGGTGCTGGGAACGCTGCTGAGAGGAAGGGCGAAGGCCGTATATGACAGCCTGGACGGTGCTGGCGGGAAGACATCATGGGAGGCGGTCATTGAGCGGCTGATGACCGAGTTCGACAGCCCGGTGGACAGGGAGGAGGCGTTGCGAAAGTTCCGGTTGGTGACGCTGTCGGCTGATGGTGACCCGCTGGTGCTTGCTGTGGAACTCACAAGGTTGCTGCGCCGTGCATTGCCGAATATCGATGAGGAGTCGGAGGCACAATTGTTGGCGTCGCAATTTATTGAGAGTGTGCCTGCCGCTGTGTCCCAGCAGCTGAGATTAGTAAATGCAGCACAACCTATGGACATCGGTGAACTGGCGAAGGTGACTCGTCAGCTGATGACACGAACAGTAGCTCCGGTCGGGTGCGAAAAGCAGGAGATAAATACTTTCGAGAAGAAGATTGAGGAGTTAGAGCGTGAGATAGCAGCATTACGAGTAAATCATAAAAGGAACGATAAATGTTACGCTTGTGGAGAGGCAGGACATTGGAAGATAAACTGTCCAAGAAGACGACGACGAAGATATTTTAAACATTATAACGTGTTTTCTTTCCACCCTAGGAATCGGGAGGTCCTTGCACTAGTAGATAGAGGGGCAATTTATGCCAGAGTGTACATAAATGAACAGGAGTTAGTGTGTTTGATTGATACAGGGGCAGCTATATCGTTAATAAGCAAAGAGCAATGTAAGACAATTAAACCATGTACATTAGCTGTCCACACCATAGGAGGGCATATGCTAGAGGTGTTGGGGGTATCTAACAGTATTGTAAAAATGAGTGGAGCTGAGATAAATTTTCCGTTCGTGGTAACCACAAGCTTATCGAGACCGATATTAGGAGCAGATTTCCTAAGAGAGGTAAAAGCGATAATTGACTTGAGAAGCGGGAAAATGGTCACAAAGTACGGTTCATTGCCAATACATGAAAGTAGCGAAGTGGCTGAAATAAGGATGGCAACGGACGTCTCGACCAAGAAACCTAACGTTAACGAGTTATGCGCAAAGTATGCGAAACTGTTCACTGGAGATGGGGAGCCGTATGGATTTTGTGACAAAGTAAAGCATGAAATTCCTATAAAGAACGACCGAGTAAATATATTTACAACACGTCGTGTCCCGGTGCATTTAGAGGCCGAGGTAAATCGACAGGTCCAGGAAATGTTGAAGGAAGGTATAATTGAGGAAGCAGACAGCCCGTATAGCTCACCGGTACTCTTGGTAAAGAAACCCAATGGAAAGTATAGATTTTGCGTCGACTTTAGAGAACTGAATAATATAACAGACCTGAAACCGTGCGCAATGCCAACAGTAGTAGAAACATTAGATCGATTACAGAATGCCACGGTGTTTACAGTGCTGGATTTACGGTCAGGTTATTGGCAACTACCTATAAAAGATAGCGATCGCAACAAGACAGCATTTACTATACGGGATAAACAGTATCAATTTAAACGAATGCCGTTCGGGTTGGCTGGTGCACCGTTCACGTTCAGAAGATTGATGACGCTGCTGCTTAAGAATCTAGATAATGTTGAGGTATATGGCGACGATGTAGTTGTATACAGCCTGACGGAAACAGATCACGTCAAGCATGTGGAAGCGGTCTTAAAGCGAATTGACGAATTTGGGCTTCGAATTAATAAGGAAAAGTCGCAGATAGCGAAAAACAGCGTCATATTGTTGGGACATAAAGTGGGAAATGGAGAAATAAAGCCATTACCAGAGAAAATTCTTACCATAAAAAATATTGCAGTACCTAATTCGAAAAGGAAGTTGAGACAGTTCCTGGGAAGAGCGGCGTTCTATAGTCGGTTTGTCAAGAATTTCAACGAAATAGCAGCGCCCTTATATAAGTTGCTGAGCAACACCAAGTTTACATGGACTGAGGCTGCCGAACAAACGTTCAACCGAATCAAAAACATGCTAGACGATCGTCAGATGACGCTGCGACTGCCTGAACCCGGTAAACTGTTTACAGTGGCCACAGATGCAAGTGATCATGGTATAGGTGCGGTATTGAGTCAGGCTGATAGAGTGGTGGAATACGCAAGTCGCGTTCTCACACCCGCCGAACAGAAGTATTCAACGATCGAAAAGGAGTGCCTAGCAATCGTGTGGGCAGTAGAGAAATGGAGACCGTACCTTTTAGGTAGACGATTTCACATTGAGACTGACCATAAACCCCTGCAGTGGTTGAGAACAGCAAGAGACCCCCGAGGGAAGTTGGCGCGGTGGATGATACGTCTGCAAGAATACGACTTCAGTATCGGCCATGTTCCAGGAAAAGAAAACGTAATGGCGGATTACTTGTCAAGATCAGACATGGAAGATGACCTTCCAGTGACAGCATACGCGGTGAATAGTTTAGATGGAGACCCATTAGAACTCATCCGGCAACAGAAAGCTGACCCGAACCTTCGAGAGGTAATCAGAGTGATAAAAGAAGGAGAAGACGTAGACAAACGAACAACGGACAAGGAGGTAATAATGTTACTTAAGCAAAAGGAACGACTGAGAGTGAACGCATATGGAGTCCTGACCTGGCGGGATGATGACGAGAATTGGGTAGCAATAATCCCAAAAGATCTGCGCCAGGAGATGATTCGTGAATGTCACCAGGTAGCGCACACAGGTATTGCACGGACAACTGATTTGCTGCGGCAAAGTGCGTACTGGCCAGGTATGAGAGACGATGTTGCACGATATGTATTAGCGTGCCAGCGATGTCAACTAATGAAAGGGGATCGATGCATACGACCGCCATTGCAGTCAATTCCAGTAACAGCAGTTGGTGATTTGTGGTCAGTAGATGTTATGGGACCGTTCCCGCAGACGACAAGTGGTAACCAGTACCTGCTGGTGATGACTGAGCATGCCACACGATGGGTAAATGCCGTGCCGATGGCGGACCAACGTGCAAGGACGGTGACGGAAGCGGTAATGCGGCACATTGTGGCGGACCATGGGATACCAAAGATAATATTAACCGATCAAGGTCCCTGTTTCGAGAGTGATGAGTTCAAGTCCCGTCTAAAGCAGTTAGGTATCAAGAGAGTACGAACAACGCCGTATCATCCACAGACGAATGGGTTAACGGAAAGGAATAACCGAACGCTAAAGGAATGGCTAGCATCTAAAGGGGGTGACTGGGAGAAAGAATTACCATTAATCTTGCTGGCACATCGTGCCTCGGCACAGGGAACAACCAGGAAGTCACCGTTCCAGCTGATGTACGGCAGACGGCCGAGACTACCAACGCATGATAAAACCTGGCCGCAACAACAGAGATGGAATACAACAAGATTGAGAACAGAGCGGAGACAAGCAATCAGGAATGTGAGAGAGAAACAAACATCAGACATGGAGAAGTCAGAACAGGAGAGAAAGAACTGGAGACCGTTTGAAGTGGGAGACCAGGTGAAGTGTAGAGAACGGAAATATACCACAGGAAGAGGGCCAGGGTCAGGTAAGCTGATCCCGAAGTGGGAGGGACCGTACGTCGTCACCGAGAGGCGCGGCGCAGTGTATACGATCCAGAAAGGAAACAAACAGAAACGCGTGAATGCCAGTGAACTCCAAAGGTGGTTCCAAGTGCGCCAAGAGGGCGAGCCACAAACACTGATAAAGAAGACGGCTGTACGGAGATCAGAAAGACTACGACGACAGCTTATTAAAAGGGGGGACGAGTGTGGTGCTGTGGTGCGAACTACTTATAAGTAGTATATAACGTGAGTGTCAACGTAAAGTCTGGTAGCATAATATGGGGGGAAGATCAAGAAAGGAAGAGTTAGAAAACAATGGAATTTGTATGAAACGCATGAATAGTGACAATGGATTGATGTTTGGCAACAGGAACAGTCCAGTTCCATAGGATGAACTGATCTTTTGCAAATGAACGATTTACGATATGGTTTTCCGATTTTACTGAGTAACTCTGTAATTTTCGTTAAATACAATTCGGTTGCCCCACCTGTGTTCTCATTCACTACACTATGACTGGTTCGCAATCACGGGTTTCCAATTCGCTTAGATAGATCCTCTGTACCGACCAATGCGATCGAAAAATCACTTTTTCTCTTCTCAACTTCATAAACAAAATCTCTGCCATGAACTAGTGAAGAGAATTTCTTTGTTCGTGGTTGTAACACAAGGCCATATGAGAGAATTTCGAGAGGGAGAGCACACTCTTCCCACTCTCAGCCGAACCATAATATTCACAAGTTACTTGTTCATTAACAAAGTGAAATATAGCACAGATCTTTCTTGTAACACAATTAAACCAAAAAAAAGTAAATTAAACTAAGATGAATGGTGTAAATTTACAACAAATGAATTCTACTTATTTTTAATAAGTAGTATCGTGGTGATTAACTAATTAACTGAGTCAAATCCTACTTTTTTTCCTTTTTGTTACTGTGATTCAACCGACTGATGCAAATTAAGATAAGATTCAAATCAAATCTCATTAGAGTTGAGTGCTTTAATCAAAAATTAAAAAATGTCATTTACTTAAATATGAAAGAATTTTTTTGATAATCAACTTATTTACTCAAATGAAAAGTTTAATCGATCAAATTCATAATATCTATATGTTTCAATCGTTTAGGAGAGTCAGATTAGTCAACTATTACTTAGTGACGCTCTTTACTTTTCAATGGATCATAGGCCACCGACTAGCATTGTCCAACCTACTCTATCCTGAACCTACCCTTACAGTTCTACCCAATTACTGTTCATTCTTTTCTCGTCTGCTTCCAGTTCTAGGTATAATGTGTTCTTTGGTCTCTCTTCTGTAGCCTTGAGGAAATGTCTTTGAGGCAGTTGGGTTATTTCCACAATGTATGTCCTATCCACCTCCAATGATTTTTCCTAATTTGTTCCTCATCTGCAGTGTGGTTTGTCGGTGTCCGGCCGAAGAATTAAGAGCATCGTGTGTAATTAACTGTTAATAAACACCTGTATCTTTTGGATGATGGCTTTTGTAGTTCACCAAGTTTCTGCTCCATATAGTAGAACTGTCTTGAGGCTCACAATGAAAATTATAACTTTGGTGTTGGTTGATAGTTGTTTTGAGTTCCAGATGTTTTTCGATTGCAGAAATACCACCCTTGTTTTTCCAATCCATGTCTTCACATCTGCATCAGATCCACCTTGAAGATGAATGATGATGCCCAAGTATATAAAAATTACCACATCTTTCCATAGCTTCCCCATCAAGTGTGATTTGATTGATGGTGCATGCTCTGTTGTATCTAAGGATCTTGCTTGCTTCCCTTGTGTATGTTGAAGCCTAATTGCTGACTACAAACTACAGTTACACTGATCGTCTTTAACTGAATTTGTTTTTGCGTGTGGAATAGAAGGGCTAAATCACCTACAAAGTCCAGATTAGTCAACTATAGTACAATTAATAGCCTCTAGTCACAAACATGTGGAACAAATGTTCATCACTATCAGTCAGTCAGTTACAACGTAGAACTTCGTACGTACACACATCATATCAAGTTGCCGAACCACATTAACACAAATCACATAGTAGTAGACGTAGCAAAAGTATTAAAAGTAATCGGAGATTAGGGTTCGAATATGTTATTCAACAAGTATAATTCAGTGAGGTAGATTTAAAAAGAGAAAGATAAAGGTAATGAGGAATTCAGAAGGTTAGAATTTCATAGAACACAAAGAGTAAATGCACCTGTGCCATTGCAAACGATTCTGAGCCATGTCATCCAGGGTTTATAACCATCGATTATAATCATCTCGCGGAAACCAACCAGGTAGTCCACACCTACCGACATAACTCAGTCCACTTGTCAATGACTTCATGGGTTTCAGCCATGTTTTGGTTTGGCCACCACTAGCTTTCGTTCAACCGATGTGTAAAAACGCAAACCTCCAAAACTGTGCCCCAATATAATGTAACAGTGCTCACTAGTGACTAGATTCGTGAGGAAATTCTCGGAGTTCTAGTTGAGAAGACGTGACCAGTGGAGTTCAACCCTGTCGGGTGTAGGCAGTAACTACCAAAGACAAATGGGTGAGGTCGCGCAAAATCCCTAGATCAATCAGAGTTAGACATTAACACCGTTGGATGCCGGCCCAGTGGCCCGATGGTAAGGCGTTCGCCTACAATGCCAAAGGTCCCGGGTTCGAATCCTGCGAGGAGCAGGAGTCGTGGATGCGCACTGCTGAGGAGTCCCATACTAGGACGAAACGGCCGTCCAGTGCTTCCAGGTTTCTAATGGTGGTCTAACAATGATGATTGATTAATGATTTCAAATGTGTAAAAACGCAAACCTCCAAAACTGTGCCCCAATATTCCTATATCGCAAAACATAGCTCAACGAGGCAGTCGGTGGTTAGGCATACGTAACACATGTCCCAACCACCTCAACTGATGAAGTTTCATTACTTCATCTATTGATCTGCCATCCTTACCTAGCACCCGTTTCCCAACAACCCTATTTCTTCACTATTCTATAATAATTTCCATTAAACATATCCAAAAACTAATATTTTCAAAGGATAAACGTTTCATGTCAATTCAATTATTTTTTAAATAAACCAAAACACCACACCTCACTACATCACACTAGAATAACAATCACTTACGGTGATAAAAGTTGAATTTTTTGTTCAAATAATAATTCTAATTTCTCAGCACAACGTCCAATACGTGAAGTGATGCCATGTTGACGATAACAATTTAATAACATTAAACGAAAATCACAAACAAATTCACGTATACCACGATAAATGCCATTTTGAAATTTCTCATTCACTACACCAGAATAATAAATTTTGGAAAAAGATCATTCAATTATGACATTTATAGGGAAAAAAAATCTCACAACACGAATCAATCTGAACGTAGGAGGTGAATAGAATTACATCGACTAACTACTCTAAGCCACAATGAAAGCATGTTCGGGATGCGATTCTTCCTCTCTAAATGTAGAATGTTACTTCAGGATTGATTAGTGTCAGCAATTGAACTAGTGATAGGGAGTGAAACAGTTGAGCGTACTGACTGCCTCGCCTACCTTGGGAGTGTCATCAGTCATAATGGCCTCATATATGACGAAATCTAAGCACGCCAAAACTGGTTAGACAAAATGAATAGGTAGCTAGACATGTGTCAAAGTTACAGGTTTAGTCGGACAACTTCCTGGATGAAGAGGAGATCATCCTACTCAATGACCAAAAACGTGATAAAACATTCAGTCTGAAACGGTTTAAATTATCCTAATTTTTTAAAGTAGGTGAGACTGGATTTGAGTCCCGGAGTGAATATCAACTCTGGAATACAAGGTGCATTCAGCAGTGTATCCCAAACAGAAGGAAATAAGCGTTCTTGGATCCACCAGCAACCACATTTCATCTATTCCACATCAAGTTATGAGACGTTTAACATTAAAAACTATATTTATTTTGCTTCCGGATAAGCAATAACCCCAAGCTTTGATAAGAAACTTTCTTGTCGTTTTGATTCGAACACTTTCATCAGTTGATTGCTTCCTCAACAACACTATAATCTTTCATCTCTGATTTTCACAAAAAGGTGGCCAAACCGAAACATGCCACAAATCCATGAAGTCACTGACATCTGGACTGAGCCATGTTAGTAGGTGTAGATTACCAGGATGGGATCCGCGAAACAATAGTAACCGATGGTTAGAGATCTCGAATGACATGGCTGAAAATCGTTTGAAATGGAGCAGGTGCATCCATTCTAGGTTTTCTCCGAAATTATAATCTTCTAAGTTCCACACAACAGTTGTTTCTCTCTTTTCGCATTTATTTAACTGAGATATATTTCTCGAGTGATATATTCGACCACTAATCTTTTCAAAACTAATACATCTACAACCTTTACTACAATGGCATTTGAATTAACAATTCGATCTGTGTGCTTATGTGCTATGACAGCTTGAACTTCCGTCAAACGTACAAAGTTCGACGTTGTAGCTGACTAATTGACTTCACACTAATATCTTGATACCCAGCTTCATTGTCAACAAGAGTTTATGTATCCAAGACATGTGGGTTTAGTAAAGCATCCTTCACAACACTAGAGTATAAGAATCATCACAAAACTATGGATGTGTGCACTACTGTACGTTTTTCAAGACTAAATCGATCTATCAAAAACAATGCTAACGTTGAACGCCAGTGACGCAACTCAGCTATTAGTATTCATTGTAGCTGCTCATATATTGTTCGTTTATGAATTAAACGCTTCAGAAATAGATTTTAAATCTTATAGGACCTAAATGTCAGACATATTCTATGGCCAACAATGTAGGCCACCGCGTTCGCTCTCAGTTAAAATAACAGCTCAGTTTACATGGTAGAAACTACTGATAGATTATCGAGAAGGGTAGTCATATGTTGGAAAAAGTAAACGTTTTCTAACAGCTACAAAATTACTAATATGGTGCTATAACCATAAAATAGCAGAATTTTATGATTAAAAAGCTCTAACAATGTATGCAAGCCAAAAGCAAGTCAACTAATACAGCAACTTACTCCTGTTGAGACTAACAGGGATAGTCAAGATAGATTTGTTGTTATTGTTCCCTTTAACAGGTTCAGGATCGTCCATAAAGAGGTAGTTTACTTGAGCATGCTGTTTAGACATCAAATTCTCAAGTATTTCCCAGGACAAACTGACTTCTGGGTTCCGTTCTGGTGATTTCATTTTCAATTTTCGATTAAACCATCGAAAGAATGTCTGAAATTAACAAAGAGTAATTTTTAAACTGTATCCCTTGAAAGAAAATATAGGGCTCGTTTTATAAGAAACAATAGAAACTGGGTTAATAACAGTTCAAATAGACGAAATCATAACCCTATATTTTCTGACAGAGTTCTGTCTTTCGTCATTGTTCAACTAGCAATGCAATGAAGTTTCGCTCAGACATGTTTGAGATATGAAAAATCGAGATAATATACGAGAAAACCATTTCAAGACAACCATACCACCAAAACTTACTATGTCGGTGAATCAGACACCTGGGCCGTTAAATAACCCGCCAAAATCCTGGCTACTGTGTAACGCAACTATTATTTTGTACGCTCTCTCAAACTTTCTAATTGCAGTAACCCCAAAAGTTTCAGCTTTGGTACCTGATATCTGCCAAACTGTCATATTATTAGTTGAAACCTTTATTCTTAGGTTCAAGCTAGTTTGCTTCTGTGTAGCATCTACAATAAATACTATTACCATAGCAACGACAGGTTTAACAGGACAGAAATAATCTCCTGATATCCATCAAAGCTCGCAACTAATTCACAGAAGTTGACGATTAAGCTTCCTATTCAGATCTGTAGTCTACAGACAGACCCACGATTGGCTGAACCAGTGACTCATTCTTCGTTATATCATAGGTCCTCTTCCCATTGGCACTGTGCAAATAGTAAGGCACACTAATTCCTATCACAACAGTTGATGGCCTGATTCCGGAATCGTTTAAAACTGTCTTAATGTATACCTGTGGAATGATCATGGAAATATGGCTGGGTTAAGCTACTTAAATCATAAAGGGGTATTGCTCCCTTGAAATTTTCCGAAAATTCGAAACCAAAAAAGTGCTAAGATTGATAAATAAATATTGTCAATCTCCGTTAAAAGCCCTTAACTGGCATCCAGTGTAACACAAGATGGTTTTAGGAGTATGGTCATGACTTTTCATATTTCTCATTGCTATCTCCACCTAACTAGACCACTGATACGTTACAGTTATAACCCACCCTCAAGGGTACAGCAGCTCAATATAAAACTGGGAGCAGATGGCGTACAATCCCGTGCAAACTTCAGCAAGTTGTTGAAGACTCCACTAAAAGCTTCTATATTTGTGCCTGGACTTTGAATAAAAGGGTCGGTAAGTATTTCAGTTCCGTGGGTACCTAGGAGAATGAACCTGAGTATTGCTGCTCGATTCACAACCTGATCTCAACTTTGAAAGACATGATATTATTCGAAAATGGTCTTTCATAATAATAATAATAACTTATGCTCTAAAGACAACGTATTACAAGAGGCATGCCGATTTACAGGCAAGATCATGTTTTATGTAAAAAGTTGTTCAGTAACCTAAATATTTCATAAGATACATTGACAAGATTTTTACATATAAAACTATAGATAATGTTTCAGACTCTGAAATATACAATGCGACAGCGTGAGTTGCGACGGTAACTTTATGACGAACCACTAATGGCTGAGCACCAGTACAATGTAAATCTAGGTCTGCATATAAGAAGAATTGATGAAGTAAATGTGCAAAGATTTCCTTGTGGATGTTCGTCAGACAGTAAGTTTACAGGCTCCTGGAAAAAGTAACCAAGTCTTCGGCAATTATCCAGGCTGTTATTTAAGGAGTTGAATAAAGTGCTGAAAAAGAGAAATGAGTGAGGAGCAGAACGGAAAATATCCTTGTTTAAAGCTGAGTCATGACTCTTAAGATAATATTTTTTGATAAAACAAAATTATAATTACTCGAACCTTTCTTCATCTGTTTCAGAACACTCAAACAAGGGTGACCGGTAATTCGTAAAGCCGTGGTGCAAGTTTGGAGTTACAAATAAACTAACTAAACATTGATATAATATAAATTGGTTATTTGACGAGAGGTGAAGGTCAGAGGTAGTTTAGGAATAATACTTTATCGTCAAACGGTAGCCTGATGAAATAAATGCATCCATAAAACTGAAAGTGTAGCTGTAAAAGCTAGTGTAAATCTCATTGAGATAAGCAACTGACGGTAGCAACTTTACTTTTGGAGCGATACAAAATTTTATTGTTCGGTAGGACCTGTGCGTAGAGGGATTCTCACAAGCATCCAAACACTCATATAAAACCAAAAAACGACCTCTGTTCGTACTTAATTAACATTGATTCCCAACCAATATTGGAGATGTGAACGTTCTCAGTTTCATTAGCTGGAATGTCTGCGAATTCATCTTGATTGTTTGTGATTATCACGAAGTCAGAAACATTTGAGAAGTGAAGATTTCCTCATTTAAGAGTAAGATAAGCTTGGTGTTTCGACTGGTCTCATGGGGCTTTCGTGATAAATAATTTAATCGATTCAGATCTTCTGATGACGACGTTCACAGTGTAAAGCTGTAACTGTGACGATGTTTTGTTCTCTGATCTGGATGTTTTGGTTGTACAGCTTTCATTGTTCTTCTGAATACAACACCACCAGTAAAAACATCGGGCAGCAGTGAATTATTTGGACTTCTTCACGTGTGACTCGTAGCTTGTCCAGTTAACCCCTATCTATATTGGACACTGTTGACCCTGGACCTGTCATTCTTTGCACCCATGGTTTGATTGTATCCCCATTCTGATCTGTTTCGTGGGCCTATCTCGCCTTTAATTTTTCTGATTGGTCGGTAAATTGGGTCATTGTCCAAGTGTTTGTTGATTGCTGCTTGACCTGAATGACAAGCCTCTAACAATTCTCCGGTAATGTTGTACTCCCCCTACCCCGTATTTCTATATTTTTCCAATCGAATTTATGTCCATAATTGTCGGTCTGTATTGATAGGAATGAAAAAATACCGTGGCATCAGACTGCCAAATGGTGTTCTCGTAAATTAAGCTGAAGAGGCCGTCCACTTTGTCCTGTATAGTGTTTTCACAGTCTGAGCACTTTATTTTGTAGATGATATTTGGCTCTTCTCCTTTTGTCGTTTTGTCCTTTGGTCTACACTGGGTTAAAAGAAGCTGTTCTTTTGTATTATGTACTACACCTATCCTAAATGGTCTAAGTAGTTGTGCTGTACGTTCCAATATATCTTCTATGTATGATGACCCAAATTCGCCTGTAGTCCCTTAGGGGCTACTCACGGGCCAAAGCCCGGATAAACGAGGAGGGTTTGAATTCGGGGTTAGCGCCTTCATCCCAACTAAAAAAAAGGCAACCAAAAGAAATAATTTAAACCATTTTGACTCTGCCCTGGGAGTTGGAAGAAGAATTATGTCGTCGCGTGATGAAAGCGGAGTTCCTTTGGAAGTCACGAGGATGTGCGAACCAAGAAAGGAGCTGAGATAGCCTCAGATCACCACTTGCTGGCTACCGAAATGAAACTGAAACTAAAGAAGCACTGGACAACGGGGCAGACGACATCACACAAGTTTAATACAGCCTATCTTCGGAGAGAGAAAACTCAACCAATTCAAGATAGCCCTCAGCAACAACTTCCAGGTCTTGCAGGATCTACTCGATGGAGAGGAAGCAACATTGGAGAACAATTGGAAAGGGATTAAGGAGGCAATAACTTCAACATGTCACGAAGTTCTGGGTCACAAGAAGTACCATCATAAGGAATGGATCTCTGTTGATACTCTTGCAGAAATCGAAAGGAGGAAGAACTATAGGGCAGCAATTAATGTCAACCGAACAAGAGCAGAGAAATTTAAGGCACAAGCTGCATAGACAGAAGCAAACTGGGAAGTAAAGAAGAGCATCAAAGCTGACAAACGAAAATATGTGGAAGATCTAGCAATGACGGCGGAAAAGGCTGCAAGAGAAGGAAACTTGAGACAATTGTACGAAACAACAAAGAAGCTCGCCGGGAACTATCGTAAACCAGAACGACCAGTGAAAAACAAGGAAGGGAAAGTAATCAGCAACACTGAACAACAGCGAAATAGGTGGGTAGAGCACCTCAAGGAACTATTGAATCGACCAGCTCCACTGAACACACCCAACATCGAAGCAGCATCCACCGACCTCCCAATTAATATTGGCGCACCTACAATAGAAGAGATCAGCATGGATATCAGACAAATCAAGAGCGGCAAAGCAGCAGGACCAGACAACATTCCAGCAGAGGCAATGAAAGCAGATGTGGAAGCAACCGCGAAAATATTTCACATCCTCTTCAAGAAGATTTGGGATGAGGAACAAGTACCATCAGATTGGAAAGAAGGATACCTGATCGAAATACCAAAGAAAGGCGATCTCAGCAAGTGTGAAAACTACAGAGGCATCACTCTTCTTTCAATACCAGGCAAAGTCTTCAACAGGGTAATGATAGACAGAATGAAAGACTTCGTAGACTCGCAAATTCGAGATCAACAGGGTGGATTTCGCAAGGATAGATCGTGTACTGACCGAATTACTTACTCTCACCCTTTCTTTTTCTCCTAGTCATTGACTAGATTATGAAGACGTCAACATCTGGAGGGAAGCATGGATATCCAGGTCTCAACATACGTAACGGAAAAAGCGAAATTACCCGACGCAATACAACACACGCCAACCAAATCAATCTTGATGGAGATGCCTTGGAGGACGTTAACACCTTTACATATCTGGGCAGCATCATCGACGAGAAAGGTGGATCCGATTCAGATGTGAGGGCGCGGATTGGCAAAGCAAGGGCTGCATTTCTACAGTTGAAAAATATCTGGAACTCCAAATAAATATCAATCAACACCAAAATAAGGATTTTCAAGACAAATGTCAAGACAGTTCTACTGTATGGAGCGGAAACTTGGAGAACCAAGAAAGCCATCATCCAGAAGATACAAGTATTTATTAACAGTTGTCTAAGCAAAATACTTCGAATTCGTTAGCCAGACACGATCAACAACAACCTACTGTGAGAGAGAACAAACCAGATTCCAGTGGAGGAGGAAATCAGGAAGAAGCGGTGGAAGTGGATAGGACACACACCTAACTGCATCAAAAGGCAAGCCCTTACATGGAACCCTCAAGGTTGAAGGAAAAGATGAAGGCCAAGGAAATAGAGAAAGATATGAGAAGAATGAACGGAAATAGGACAGAACTGGAGAGGGAAGCCCAGGACAGAGTTGGTTGGAGAAAACTGGTGGTTGGCTATGCTCCATTTTGGGTAACAGGAGAAAGTAGGTAAGTAAGTATGATGATCCGTTTATTGATAATTGTACTTGACGACTTCAGTTAATGTTTTTTGATGAAGTTACGTGGAAAGCCGTTCTTTTCGAATATATTTACCAGATGCTTTTCCTCGTTTTTAAGATTCACTGACAGCATGACACATATTTTCTGATGTGGTTAATTCCTGACTTGTCAGATCACCGTATTATTCGACAGATGAGCGCCCATAGGAAGCGTCTTATAGCCTAGAAAAGGCTCAAAAAGTACAGTTAGTGCATACCGTCGAAGTATTAACTGCATTATACTAGTAACAAATACGCAAAGTCAACAGCAGTTATAGTAGATCAGTAAAAAAAATGCTGGTGCCTTGACAACTTATCCAATCACTTGGAGCATACTGCGACTTTGGAAGACTTAATCTTCGTCAAAGAATTAAGTCTGAAACACCTTATACCGAACAGTTATTTGATAAAGGTCACGTTCGTACTTTCAGCCTGCAATGAAAAAGAAAAGGCAACCTGATCCACTTAGGAGCAAATTTATTTGCGAAAAATTCCCTGAATAAGTTCCTACAGTGTCGCACACAGATTTTTAGCAATGCCACAATCAGAACCGATAATCATGTATCGGGTCAAGAATTACGTTGCTAATCTTAACATTTTGATCTTGCCTGTAAATCGGCATATCTCTAGTAACATGTTTGTTATTTGAGAATAAATTATTATTATTAATTATTTTCTTTTAAAAGGACATAGAGTAGTGAAATCAGTACAAAAACTCAAAGTAGTAAATTCAAAGACAAAGTGATTTATAAACAGTTGCCCACTAAACATTAGAGGTGCCAACAAAATGAAACAACTAAACGGTTCCAGATCTTTACATGAAATCTGGTGGAATTTCAGGATTAGTACTCGGTGTCAGGTGCTTAACTCAAATATTATTTGTCAACTTATTCATTATTACCAAGGTTAGCATAAAATAGTAATTTTCCTAAGTAACCAAATTATCTTGCTGAAAATATAGCTTTTGTGGGCTACATTATCTAAACGCCTTTTCTTCCAGGGGTTGTCCGGTATATGTCGATTGAAAGTGCGAAACAAATGATCTGGAGTTGGCTGGCACAGTTCTTTGTGAAGATCCATAACAAATGAATAGAACAGAAGCTGTGTTTTCATTTTTGCATCCAAAAATTATCTACGATTAGAACTTATAAAGCTCAGTCATAGTTCCTCACATAAAAGTAGCACTGATCAACTGTTCAGACGCCAGGTTATTGAACTTGATTGCCTACAGTAAATTGGAAGCCATTGTTTTTTCAACATAAAGAGATCGATCGTGATTGCAGAAGAGCATGGTATCAGTATATTTGAAATGAAATATTTTTTACTGATTCTCAAATTAGCGAGAGAAATGGACATATCGCATGTAACGTGACTGTAGAATTTGCATAGTATTTCCATCACATCCCTAAAAAATTCGACCTGTGAATTGATCTTATTTCTATTGTGGATACCATTTCCTCCATAAAAGAATTCAGTGAGGTTCGGTAGAGTCGTAATTGATGATTTCAAATGAGTAAAAAACACAAACCTCCAAAACTCTGCTCCAAAAATGAGTCGTAATACTCGGAAAAACTTGTTCGGACGTAATGAAGACAAAAATAATCTAAAAGCGTCGAGAGCATGAGACGCAGCTTTACGATCAGTGAGAAACAGTATGACATTTAGGTCACTAGGTCACATAGAGTCTCTAGTGACATAAAGCTGAATGTCATGATATAAAATGTTATAAAATGTCAATTATTATAATTTGAAGATACGCTTCCAAAGTTCAGTGAACTTAAATTCAATAAATTTTTATAGCGACATCAAACGAAGAACGAAAATCGAACACGAATAAATCAAACGGTAATTGCTTGGTCATGATGAAGACATTGGATATTGAAAGAAGTAATTTGCGTTTGGAAAGATTGAACTGGAATATCTTCAAGCATATAGACAGCCGTTAACTTATTTGAGTACAGTATTCCATCCTATTGATCATGTTTTTGAGTTGTTTGTTGTTGTTTTAATACACTGTTTACCTCTTTACTCCAAACAACTCTATTTCAAGACATGACGTCACCTACTGAGCTACCTCATTTTGACGTTGTTAGTAATGGAGAGACATTTCACCTGGAAGGCCGTCTCTGCAACCTTTCTGCTTTTTCTCATGTGTCTTCACATAGGGATCTGCCGAAAGAGAGAACCTTTTTCAATTCTCCTGTGAAGGTAAACCTAGTGAAATTTCTTAAACAACTTATACATGGTGTCTTATTAAGTGTATTTTCAATAATTTACGGAATTGGGCACTTTAAACGTTTTAAATAAAGCATAAAATGTGCTACACGATCAGTTCACTATCGATGAAAGATTCTTTAAAAGCAGTTGCTGAGTCCAGTCTGGTCAGCAATATTGAGTTGTAAAAATGCGAAAATCTGAATAGGTAGTTTGTTATTTTCATTTCCTTTTTATGACTGACACCGAGTGGATTTTACATTTCTATTCAAACAAAAGTGTGTAGTAAAAAACGAAGTTTCCGCGTTCGGCACTAAATGTTAAGTACTTTAGTTAATTTCACTTAACAGAGTACTTTAGCCGATCAAATCATGTAATTTGTGCATACATGGAAAACGTCCACTGAGTCTATAATCTGAAGATGATATAGCATCCTAGACTGACTAATTTTTTCTGATACACCGAAAATTCCTTAATAGTCTGTCAAAGTCCATTGTGATGTATTTTGACCACGAATTCTCTGAAAACATGAGTGGTCTGAAATCTTTGATCTGCGAATCAAACTATGGGATGTGATATTGCTTATTTCGTTCGGACTTCGTTTCTTATGGTTTGTTTTTTCATCAGCATCGATATTGTTGTTATTTTGACTTTTTAATTTCAATTTCGCTAACTTTATCTCATAGTGATTAAAATTATAGCATTATGAACTGACTATAATTTGCTTCATGTCTCAGGTCTTTCATGACTGTATGTAAACTTAGCAAAACCACTACTAGCATAAACATCTTTGTAATCGATCAGAATGCATCTGTAGAATTTCATGTGGTATTATTACGTTCATCGGGTTGCATTAATTCATACACAAAACAAATTTATCTTTTAAAACCGCATTCAGTTTGCTCTACAAACAAAATCGTCAGATTTCAAAAGACGAGGTACTTGAATACCACACTACTAAGTTATTCTTACTATTTTTTGCTGAATGTGTTTTTATTGTAGCTAAAAATTGAAATGTTAATATCAGGGAAAACTATTTTATTTTTATACATGGGTGTTCAATAACGATGATTGTAAACAATTATTATTTTAGAAACAAGGAAATGTTTGTTTATATGATTCAATCTTTTCTAAAGAAGATGATTTTAATCCAAAACTTCATCGAAGTGACCGCATACATGATAAGCTCTTTGGATTGAACATACATGAAGAAGTGAGTTACATATCAAATTTTATCAAAAACAGTTTGTTTGATATTGACTTCCATATCGTAATTTATAATTTTGTTTGTCAGAACTTGCTGAATAGATATATTCAGTTACTAACGCTTGTTATGAAGATTATACCCTGAAATCACGATTTTGAATAGCTGTTGTTTATCTAATGGTTAAGTCGTCTACAATCAACTTGAAGTTAAGAAATTGAGGTTCATTACTGCTAAATTCACCTTCGATTACTTTAGTGGGCCATTTTGGACAGACTGATAAGCATCTTTTCTCTGACTGTATTGATGCTACTGATATCTTTATAAAAATCTTAATCCAGTTGACCTAAGAATAATTCAAAATGTAGCTCGTAATAATATTTCGCCACTAAACCCAGTCTTGTGATCTTAACTTTCAAATGTTATAGAGTTGGGATCGACTGTTTACATTCTGTAGAATGTAGATCATGCATAATAATTCCTGATTAGTATGTAACGTTTCATTTAAATTTGCTTTGTATCGCAGCTGAATCAGAATTTAATAATCCAACTATAAAATCCTGGCAATAGCGAAATATTTTTTAAATTATAGTTTTACTTTATAGGAATATATCAACTAAACTGTATTGTGTTACGAGGAGATTAAAATTAAAAATCTAAACCACTGGATCTTGAGATGATATGTAAAGATTTTCGTTGTCACTGCGACACCTCAAAGTGTCTAGTAAACCATGGTACATTAGGCGAATACTTTTCAACAGTTTATAAATCCTAAGCAGTTTACACTCAATAATATATGAAACATTGCAGCTATTAGGTTACTGAGTTAATCTAAAATTCATCGGTTTTCTCTTCAGTAACTGTCTTTGTGTTCCAAAACTAATTTTCGATGTTAAACATGGATGATTACCTCACTCGCAAGTTGTTTTTGAAGCTTTTCAATTATGCAATAATCTGTAAGTCCATACTAAAGTTAAATATTGGGTAGACCTATTACAAGTAAGTGGTGGGGTAATAAGTTTAAAAAGAGAAAGATAGAGGTGATGAACAATTTATAAATATTAGAATTTCAGGTAACATAGAACGGATGCACCTGTGCTATTGAAAATCGTTTAGAGCCATGTCGTTCAAAGTCTCTAACAATCGATTATTGTTGTCTCGCGGACTCCAACTAAGTAGTTTTCACCTACCAACTCGGCTCAGTTGAGTTTTCAGTGACTTTACGGATAGGTCTACAGTCTTACCGCTTATACGTTGAATCAGGAACTACTATGATTGCCACAACGCAGGTAGGAGCACCAAGGATTGGTGCAATGAAGATTTAATGTGTCTGCAACAACACGTTCCAAAACCTTCTCCGTTATTACATCATCATTTATATACTGATATTAAGTGTTAGGATATTCATCCAATATCCTGAAAGAATTATCGGTTACTTCCTACTGGTCAATTTTATGGTCGTCCTAGATATGAATGTCACGTGCTCAAATGTTGTTTCTTATTGGTTGTCCTGACTATCCATGTCACTTCAAATGTTGCTTCCTATTGGTTGTCTTAACTGTCTATGTAACAGACTCGATGCTGTTTTCTAATCGACCAAAATGTATAAATACGCATTATATGTAACGTTTTATGACCAGGACCCGGACCCGGATCCCTAGTCCGGGTACCTGATTCTCTTCTGGACTCGGACCTCGTACTTTCTGGATGCTTGTGGAATACATGTTCTACTTCATATCAAGTCTTCTTCGTTTATTCAATGGGGGGTTGTGACAATCGGATTTGAGTAGCATGTCGTGTCGCCGGATCCTCGATCCTCGCTCTCGTTTTCCGATTAGTTAAACTCGTAACATTAAGATACACAGGAATGCAGAAGTTTACTGTGAAACTGCGCTCACTAAATACATTTCACATGAACTGATGCAAGAAATGTAACTGTGACATTGAGAGAAATTTCACACTCTTCTTATTGAACACAGCGTATGCTGAATAAATACACTGGAATATTAACTTCAAAATGTCACACTGAACAAAGTTCTCAGTTGTCACTGTAGACGAAATTCACGATCAATTAATATGAAAAAAATATTGACCTAAATAATGTCATCTTTCTCTCTCGTCATATCCTAAAGCCTAATACTGTCTATGATATAAAGGTGAATACCTATTGCTAAATGCTCTTAACATAATATTTTGTCTATCATATATTTGGGACATGTTTTGCCTATGCCTAACCACTGACTGCCTTGACGTGCGATGTTTTGCGGTGTAGGAGTAGGTTGGAAAGAAGCTAGGGGCGGCCATGGCAAACCATGGCACAAATCCATGAAGTCAATGACAAGTGGACTGAGTCATGTTGGTAGGTGTCGACTACCTGGTTGGCGCCCACGAGGTGATGGTAATCAATGCTTAAAGACCTTGAATGACATGGCTCAAAACCGTTTGCAACGGCACAGGTACATTAACTCTTTATATCCTATGAAATTCTAATCTTCCAAATTCCTCATCTTATCCGTTTTTCTCTTTTTAAACTCATTTCACTGAATTATACTTTTTGAATATAATATCTTCGAACCCTAATCTTTGTTATTATCGCAAATACTGCTTCAGCCTTTTCCTTTACGGTGATTTGAATTGAAAATTCCATTTGTGTATGCTAATGTAGCATGGCAAATTGAACTGATGCATGTACGTATGTACGAAGTTCTACGTTGTATTAAACTGATTGATGACTTAGTAAAAGCCCTAATCACTTCTTTTTTTATAGATATCAGTATGTTTATTCGCATTCAAGAGTTTGAAGTTCTACTTGAAGCGTTGATTTGTTTCTGGTGTATTATCGACATTTGTTAAATGATTCTTATTCGTTTGCGTAAATATCTCTAACTTTTTATTAAAGATTCCCATTTTGAAAATTAGAAAAACACAGATATAAGCGAACAGTATTGCTGTTTTTGATTATATCGTCATCAGGCTGCTTTACTTTAACATACATGAATATTTACATGAAAATGTTAAACACTTCCCAGCATGGTTTATGAAAGGTCAGTTAAAAGCAGTACGCAGTTCTATGTTGACACATCTGGTTGATAGTGGTCATATTGTTGATAAATCTGGATTGTGTCCAGTGATCTGTCGTGTACCTCCATCATTTCTCGACGGAGTTCAATCCTATTTCCTACACATAGCCAAAGTCAGAGGAAGTCGTACATTCAAAGCCAATTTATGTGTTCACATCTTGCGCGGTCGGATATGACTTAACCAACGTTTTAAATTTTATTTTTGTTATTATTAGCATTATTTTCACATCCAGTATTTGTTCGTAATTTTTATCACCTCTTTCCGTTTATATTCTTCACTATCTAATAATTATATCCACACTTCCTATTACGTAATGGTTTTTAATGTTTTGTAATGATTATTTTGAGTCTATTTATCCACCGGTTTGACCTACAATTGACAACAAACTTTTGTTATCGTATTTTATTTCTCTAACCACTACTGTCAGTAGACCTCTGTCTTCCTACTATCAACTTTTGTACTTTTGCCTATTAGGTGTGTAGAGTTACGAAATCTCTATTTCATTTCATTGTGATCAGTAACAGATAAATTGCCTTGATTTAGTTTAAAATTTTCATCACGAATATTCATGTATATTAGCGAGAGTAAAGCCTAAATCGAAAACTACACAATATTGTTCGCTAATATCTCTGCTTACTCTCACCGTTTCTCTTTCTCCTGGTCATCGACTGGATTTTGAAGACCTCATCATCTGGAGGGAAGCACGGTATTCAATGGACAGCTAGAACGCAGCTGGACGATCTGGACTTCGCAGATGACCTGGCTCTTCTATCGCACACGCAGCAACAAATGCAAGAGAAGACGACCAGTGTAGCAGCAGCCTCTGCAGCAGTAGGTCTCAACATACATAAAGGAAAAAGCAAAATTCTCCGATGCAACACAACATACACATACCTAATCACTCTTGATGGAGATGCTTTCGAGGACGTTAACAACTTTACATATCTGGGCAGCACCATCGACAACCAAGGTGGATCCGATGCAGATATGAGGGCGCGGACTGGCAAAGCAAGGGCTGCATTTCAACAGTTGAAAAATATTTGGAACTCCAAACAACTTTCAACGAAAACCAAAATCAAGACAGTTCTACTGTAAGGAGTGGAAACTTGGAGAACCAAGAAAGCCATCATCCAGAAGATACAAGCATTTATTAACAGTTGTCTAAGCAAAATACTTCGAATTCGTTAGCCAGACACGATCATCAACAACGTTCTGTTGGAGAGAATTAACCCGTTTCCAGTTGAGGAGGAAATGAGGAAGAAGAGGAGGGAGTGGAGAGGACACACATTGCGGAAAGCACCTAACTGCGTCACGAGACAAGCCATCACATGGAACCTTCAAGGAAAAAGGAAAAGAGGAAGGCCAAGGAACACATTGGGCCGAGAAATAGTGAAAGACGTAAGAAGAATGAATAAAAATTGGACATAACTGGAAAGGGAAACCAAGGACCTAGGTGGTTGGAGAAAACTGGTGATTGGCCTATGCTCCATTGGATGTAACAGGCGTAAGTTAGTAAGTAAGTAAATAAATAAAATGTCTGCTGTTCTAACTTTTTACTGTTGCATTGAATTTGATGGAAGTCCTCTTATTTCCGATTAAACGTTTCTGTGAATTTTATTTTTATTTTCTAAACAATGTTAAAAAACAGCTGCATTATTTTATTTTATTTACAGGAAAAAAGTAAACCTGTACCATCATTGTCATCATCTGAATATGGACATCATTTGAATAAAACACTCGAAAATCGTGATCGTCAACATGCTCGAATTATGTTGGTAGAAAGTCAATTTTATCGTCGTAATGGAATCGATTTGTAGTCATTCTTAGTAATAATAACAATTAATACACTTATTCTAGTGGATTCAGTCAATATATAAATAAAACTGATTAGTATTATTTCATTTGGTTATGTAATTAATCATATTGTTTCTTTAGTGATTTTTACTTTTTATTTTCAACTTTACAGAGTATTGATTTGTTTTACTGAACTCGTTGGATATAAACATTGAGAATTGAACAATTTTTAGTTATTGTATAATTTAATTTCTGAAAAAAAGATTATCTATTTCAGATGAATTATTGACATATATATTTTTATTTTAATTATTCTGTTTGTTTTTATTTTTGATTGTTTGATGTTAAAAATTAGCTTTTTGACGTCTGAGTTTGTTTCATTCTTAATGTAGGTAGAACTATCATATTTATCTGTCCATACGCTAGACGTTCTATCATTCTTGACATGAATATATGGTAGTGTGTGCACTAAAATGTTGGGTCCATATGGCTTGTTGTTGTTTTTGGACGGATTAATTGAGCTTTTCCGCCAGAGTTACAATTCACACGTCTCCCGAACTTGCCAATGGAGTTCAACTCTGTTGGGTGTAGGCAGTAACTACCAAAGACAAGTGGGTGACGTCGTGCAAAATCCCTAAATCAATCAGAGTTAGACATTAACACCGTTGGATGCCGGCCCAGTGGTCCGATGGTTAAGCGTTCGCGCACAATACCGAAGGTTCCGGGTTCGAATCCTGCGAGGTGCAGGAGTCGTGGATGCGCACTGCTGATGAGTCCCATACCAGGACGAAACGGCCGTCCAGTCCTTCCAGGTTTCTAATGGTGGTCTAACAATGACTGATTGATGATATTAACTTGTAACCTTGGTTGTTGTTGTGGTAGTGTTTCGTTCACTGAGCTGGATGTTCCCACGAGAATTCTTCGCTTTTATCAATTACTTACTTATTTATTTACGCCTGTTACCCCCAATGGAGCATAGGCCGCTCACCAGTTTTCTCCAACCAACTCTGTCCTGGGCCTCCCTTTCTAGTTCTGTCCAATGTTTGTTCATTCCTCTCATATGTTTCTCTATTTCTCGACGTAGTGTGCTCTTTGGCCTTCCTTTTTTCCTTTTGCCTTGAGGGTTCCATGTGAGGATTTGTCTCGTGACGCAGTTAGGTGCTTTTCGTAGTGTTTGTCCTATCCACTTCCACCGCTTTTTCTTGATTTCCTTCTCCACTGGAATCTGGTTTGTTCTCTCCCACAGTACGTTGTTGCTGATCGTGTCTTGCCAACGATTCCGGAGTATTTTGCATAGACAACTGTTAATAAACACTTCAATCATTGTTAGACCACCATTAGAAACCGCGAAGCACTGGACGGCTGTTTCGTCCTAGCAGTGCGCATCTACCACTCCTACTTGTAGGATTCGAACTCAGGATCTTCGTGCCTTGTGGGTGAACGCTCAACTTCTAGACCACAGAGCCGGTATCTAACGTTGTTATTTTCTAATTTCTGTCATTCCATGGTCTTGAGTAACCTCATCCACTGTTTTTAGTCAGCACTGCTTCACATCTGAACAGGGTTGAACTTCACTGGTCACAACTTCTCACTAGAATGCAGAGGAACTTCTTCATGGAGCTAGTCACTAGTGAGAAAATGATAATTTGCATGATAGGGTTGTGGAGATTGTTGAAGTACTTTTTTGATAATCATGTATCGATCACTGTTAGACCGGCCGTTTTGTTCAGAGTGTCTTATGTGACAAGTTCACTGACAATGAAAATATCAATTACTGGCTTTCAGATTTATATTTTTAAAGAATCTTGTATACTGCAGTTAAAGAGACCTCCTTATTAAATCTCTTGGCATACAAATGATATTTACTTTCTCTAACTTTCAGCAGTTGTCTAATTAGTGGTATAAACTCATACTATGTGAAATTACAATGAAAGTTATACATATATACGTTTTTAATTTTTTAAATTATCTCACTACATAAATATTTTCAATAATTAACGAAATGAACATTGAATAGAGCTGATTTAAACAAGCGCGATTTCAAACACACATCTAGAAAAACAAATTTTCAATTCATTTTTTAAATTGTCCTTTCTTTGATTTATGAATGAACAACAAGAAAAAGTAATCTAATCTTATGAGAAAAAATCAATATTCAGTAGTGAATAGTTTTTTTTAAAAAAATCAGAAATTCATCAAAGATCAATTTATTTGAAATTTAGTTTTGTGAATAGTTATTGCGGAATAGTTATTTATTCCATCGCTAAAAACTATGTTGTCATATAAAATATACCTATTCAACAATTATCAAGTCAAACTGATAAGTAGTTACAATAATGTAACCTTGTGCAAATTCTTCAGTTAATTTCAAATCATAAATCAATCAATGTTAGACCAATGTTAGAAACTTGAAAGCGCTGGATAGCCGTTTCGTCCTGGTACGGGACTCATCAGCGATGCGCATCCACTGGCAGGATTCAAACTCAGGATCTGTGTGCGAATGCCTAACCTCTGGACCGTTGAGCCGGTATCTAACAGTGTTAATGTCTGACTTCGATCAATACACGGCCCTGAGCAATCTCTTACCCACTGTCTTCGATGAGCACTGCTTCACAACAGAACTAGTTAGTATTGCTATACAATAATAGTGAATAGCTGCGTGAGGAAGTTCTCCGAGTTCTAGCGAAAAGCCGTAACTAGGGCAGTTCAACCCTGTTGAGTGTCAGTAGTAACTACCGATGAAAATAGGTGAGGTCGCGCAAAATTCCTTAGATTGACCAGAGTTAGTTCGAATCCTGCGAGTAGCAGGAATCAAGAACGCACACTGATGATGAGTCCCATTCCAGGACGATACGGCCGTCCTGCACTTGCAGGTTTCTATTGGTGATCTTATAATTATTGTGTTAAATATCCATCTTTTTAAAAATAATCTTTACCCCTGTTATCATGACACTTAGAGCTCTTTTTGACTATTGTGCAGTAGTCACAATAGTACTTACTATTTAACAAGTTACTCATTGAATATGAAAATGTCAAAAACCATATCAAGTCACAATAATAAACATTGAAGTGTCCAAACTGAGGTTTAGTTTGAGGAATAACTGTCTAGCTAGTTTAGATACGCGTCTTGACCAGTTGAATTCAAAACAAGTGATTGGGTATATAACAGTTCTAATATTCATCATAAATATAACTATACATCATTACTTAAACAAATATAACCGTTCAGTTATTCCACCAACAACTGTTCAATTATTCAAATAAACGATATTCTATCCCTCCTGGATAGATCAGATTCGTTCGACAGATAATATTTGGTTGCTTTATAACACAGAGTGTTTCCTATTCTGGAAGAGTGCTTCAATTCACAATCAAAATGCACAATTCCAGTCCAAGTAAGCAATCTAATCAAAAGAGGAACAACTCAATATGACTGTCGCCATAACTAAGTATCAGCTTAACACAACATAAACGCAGTTCAGAAAGAAACACAGAAACTCAGTAAAGAAGGCAAAGGAAATAGAAACTATAATAAGATACAAATATTATCATCGCCTCAAAATGGAATTGAACAGATTAAACAACATGTACAACTGAAGGAATCAATAAGGACAAATGACAAATATATATATGGAGGAATTTTCACAAACAAAGCCTTCAAAAAATGGATCTTACAATCACAATAAAATGAAACAGAGATCACGTAACTTCACACATGATAGGTAGAATAGTACAACTTAATAGATTATGAAAACAGGTGTACTGATCATACAGTAGGAACAATCAAAATTGCTTTGACTGATTTAACATTAGGAGTATAAAACTTGATGATGCTTTCCGCAATGTGTGTCCTATCCACTTCCAACGCTTCTTCCTGATTTCCTCATCCACTGGAATCTGGTTTGTTCTCTACCACAGTTCGTTGTTGCTGATGGTGTCTGGCCAACGAATCCGAAGTATTTTGCGTAGACAGCTGTTAATAAACACTTGTATCTTCTGGATGATGGCTTTCTTGGTTCTCCATGTTTCCGCTCCATACAGTAGAACTGTATTGACATCTGTATTGAAAATCCTGATTTTGGTTTTGGTTGAAAGTTGTTTGGAGTTCCAGATATTTTTCAACCGTAGAAATGCAGCCCTTGCTTTGCCAATCCGTGCCCTCATATCTGCATCGGATCCACCTTGATTGTCGATGATGCTGCCCAGATATGTAAAGGTGTTGACGTCCTCCAACGCATCTCCATCAAGAGTGATTAGGTTTGTGTATGTTGTGTTGCGTCCTGCGTGCTAACTGTCCAGTTGATACCGTGCTTTCCTCCAGATGTTGACGTCTTCATAATCCAGTCGATCACCAGGAGAAAGAGAAAAGGTGAGAGTAAGCAACCTTGCCTGACACCGGTCTTCACCTCGAGAGAGTCGGTTAGCTGTCCTCCGTGCACGATTTTGCAGTTGAATCCATCATAAGAATTCTGTATGATGTTGACTATTTTCTCAGGCACACCGTAGTGTCGAAGAAGCCTCCACAGTGTTTTCCTATCCACGCTATCGAATGCTTTCTCGTAGTCGATGAAGTTGATGTAGAGTGGTGAGTTCCATTCAATTGATTGTTCCACAATGATCCGTAATGTTGCAATTTGGTCAGTACATGATCGATCCTTACGAAATCCGGCCTGTTGATCTCGAAGTTGGGCGTCTACGAAGTCCTTCATTCTGTTTAACAATACTCTGTTGAAGACTTTGCCTGGTATTGAAAGAAGAGTGATGCCTCTGTAGTTCTCACACTTGCTGAGATCGCCTTTCTTTGGTATTTTGATGAGGTATCCTTCTTTCCAATCTGATGTTACTTGTTCCTCACCCCAAATCTTCTTGAAGAGGATGTGAAATATTTTCGCAGTTGCTTCTACATCTGCTTTCATTGCCTCTGCTGGAATGTTGTCTGGTCCTGCTGCTTTGCCGCTCTTGATTTGTCTGATGGCCATACTGATCTCTTCAATCGTAGGTGCGCCAATATTAATTGGGAGGTCCTTGGATGCTGCTTCGATGTTGGGTGGGTTCAGTGGAGCTGGTCGATTCAAGAGTTCTTTAAAGTTCTCTACCCACCTATTTCGCTGTTGTTCAGTGTTAC